CTTCTATTTTTAGTTTGCATAGTTATTTTATTTTATTTTTTTAAATATATATTTTACTGATTTTTTACAGAGAGGAAGGGAGAGGGATAGAGAGTTAGAAACATCGATGAGAGAGGAACATCGATCAGCTGCCTCCTGCACACTCCTCACTGGGGATGTGCCCACAACCAAGGTACATGCCCTTGACCGAAATTGAACCTGGGACCCTTGATTCCGCAGGCTGATGCTCTATCCACTGAACCAAACCAGTTAGGGCTGCATAGTTATTTTAAAGGGTCTGATGGTTTTATCTCTGGAGCCCCTGTCATAAGCAAAGTTAAAGACAAGTGACAAAGTGGGAAAAAATATTTGTGAGCTACAGAACAGAGGACTAACTTCCCTAAGGAATTCTGGTAACATTTCCAGGTCCAATTTTCTCACACAGTTCCAAACAGGCTGTCAGGAAGAAAAGTTTCACCAGACCATGAACACAGATAAGTGAGTTTTTCATAGAGATAACTGTATTCATTTCAAAGGATTGTGTTTTCTTCTGTGGATATGCTCTCTCTAATTTTTAACAAGTAAAGACTCTTTTTTCTAATAAATCATTATCATAATACATGGTAATTTAAGATTTATAATGTTCTTATTTGATAGTCTAAAATATTAGTAACTTTTGGGAGAACCAAGATGGCGGCATAGGTTAACGCCGGAGTTTGCTGCCTTGAACAACTACTTCAAAAGTGAAACTAAAAAACTGAACGGACATCACCCAGAACCACAGGAACGCTGGTGAGTGGAAGTCCTACAACTAGGAGGAAAGAGAAACGCATACGGACACTCAGAGGAGGCGCAGTGCTGAAGTCAAATTCTGAGGTGCGGAGTGCGCGGAGCGGGCTGGCGGCGGAGGGCGCGGTTGGCGTTTTCAATCGGGAGGGAGTCGCAGACTCTGAGCTCCAGATACAGGCGAGTCTTTAGGGACCCAGACTCAAAGGGGAGAAGCGGGACTGTCTGGCTTCGGTCAGAGCGAGTGCAGCTTTCTCTCCGAGCTTTGCAGCGGGTGCTGGGACTCAGAAAGGCAGAGCCCCTGGGGACAGGACTGAGAGCCGCCATAACTGCTCTCTCCGGCCCATCCTGTTGATCCTGTGCGACGCCCCCTGCCCAAGCCCTGCACACAGGCATTTGCCGGATAGCCTCAGGCAAAGGCTAGATTAGCACCTCCCTAGAGGACAGAAGTTCTCTCACTGCAGACACAGCTGATTCTCATAGCCACTTGGCCTGGAGGTCAAACCCTCCCTGGTATTAGCTACAACAATCAAGGTTTAACTATAAGACTGCGCACAAAGACCACTAGGGGGTGCACCAAGGAAGCATAACAAAATGCGGAGACAAAGAAACAGGACAAAATTGTCAATGGAAGATATAGAGTTCAGAACCACACTTTTAAGGTCTCTCAAGAACTGTTTAGAAGCCGCCGATAAACTTAATGAAATCTACAAGAAAACTAATGAGACTCTCGATGTTATATTGGGGAACCAACTAGAAATTAAGCATACACGGACTGAAATAACAAATATTATACAGACTCCCAACAGCAGACCAGAGGAGCGCAAGAATCAAGTCAATGATTTGAAATGCGAGGAAGCAAAAAACACCCAACCGGAAAAGCAAAATGAAAAAAGAATCCAAAAATGCGAGGATAGTGTAAGGAGCCTCTGGGACAGCTTCAAGCGTACCAACATCAGAATTATAGGGGTGCCAGAAGATGAGAGAGAGCAAGACATTGAAAACCTATTTGAAGAAATAATGACAGAAAACTTCCCCCACCTGGTGAAAGAAATGGACTTACAGGTCTAAGAAGCGCGGAGAACCCCAAACAAAAGGAATCCAAAGAGGACCACACCAAGACACATCATAATTAAAATGCCAAGAGCAAAAGATAAAGAGAGAATCTTAAAAACAGCAAGAGAAAGAAACTCAGTTACCTACAAGGGAATACCCATACGACTGTCAGCTGATTTCTCAACAGAAACTTTGCAGGCCAGAAGGGAGTGGCAAGAAATATTCAAAGTGATGAATACCAAGAACCTACAACCAAGATTACTTTATCCAGCAAAGCTATCATTCAGAATTGAAGGTCAGATAAAGAGCTTCACAGATAAGGAAAAGCTAAAGGAGTTCATCACCACCAAACCAGGATTATATGAAATGCTGAAAGGTATCCTTTAAGAAGGGGAAGAGGAAGAAAAAGGTAAAGATACAAATTATGAACAACAAATATGCATCTATCAACAAGTGAATCTAAGAATCAAGTGAATAAATAATCTGATGAACAGAATGAACTGGTGATTATAATAGATTCAGGGACATAGAAAGGGCATGGACTGACTATTCTTGGGGGGGAAAGGGGTGTGGGAGATGCGGGAAGAGACTGGACAAAAATCGTGCACCTATGGATGAGGACAGTGGGTGGGGAGTGAGGGCGGAGGGTGGGGCGGGAACTGGGAGGAGGGGAGTTATGGGGGGGAAAAAAGAGGAACAAATGTAATAATCTGAACAATAAAGATTTAATTTAAAAAAACATAAAATAAAATAAAATATTAGTAACTTTTTGCAGGTCCCTCTAAATTATTTACTTGATTTGACTGGTCTAGGAAATCTTTGACCTTATGTATATGGATTACATTCAGGGTAATGACAGAGAAAAATAAGCAGTGCACTAAGGATATAAGCAGAAGAGGGACCTTTAGAAAATATGGAGAAGGATGAAGTAAACCAGGGCAGTGAGATTTCACAAAGCCAAGGAACAAATAGGTTGCAACCTGCCAACTGGTTTGCTGATTCAAATGCTGCAAAGAACTAAGTAAAGTAGAGACTTTAAAATGCCTATTGAATCTAGTGACAAAGAAGATACTAGCGACTATAGTTAAATAATTTTAGTGGAGCAGCAAGGCCAAAAATGAATGCTGTGAATTTAAGAAAGAAAGCGTGATGAGGACTGGAGACACTGGCTTCTACGATTTTTTTCTGACAATTTAATTTTAAAGGGAAAAGTGTGTTTTAGCTTTAGTGTGGATATAGGATTTGGGTTGATTGGTTGCTTGGTTTGTTTGTTTGTTTTGAAGATGGAAGCTGATTGAGTAAGATTACTGTTAATAGAAAAACCAGTGGAGGGACAAGGATTTTGAAAATATAAGAGATAATGGAAATGATTAATGGAGAGGATTCTGAGAAGATGAGATTAAATGGAATTCTATAGAATACAAATGGAAGGCTTCTCTGCTGGCAGGAAAGGTGACCTTCATCCTTTATGCATCATGAAGGAAGGGTGTAGGGCCTCAGCCTGGGACAGTGTGGCTTCTGCACAGCTCCTCATCAGTAGTCTCTGTGAGTGGTGCCCACACTTGTAAGAGGTACATCCTTCCCAGTTCACATGCAGGCAGGTTAATTTGGAAGTCAATGGGACCAGAATTTGGAGGAACTACAATCAAGGAGAAGGATAGCCAGGGAAAGTCCCTTGAGACAGAGCAGTTAATAAATCAGAGAGGAATTAGGAGAGAGAGGGAAGCAAAGGGGGAAAAGGTATCACCTTCTCTCCTCCCTACATTTCCTGTGCCAAAGTTCCATTAGGCTTCACCCTTTCCAAGTTATTCTTCCTCCACCCACCAGAGCATTCATTCTCTGAGCTCACTGTGCTCGGGAAGGTTTTAAGAAGAAGACAATCTCTCAAACTCATGCAGAACAAGAGAGGTATTTAAATACTATAAAAAGGATTTTAATCTAAAAGAACACATCTCTAAAGATGAAGTTAAGCAGTTTACTGGTCATAGAAGAAATATTTTTGGAAGATAAGACTTTCTTGTGCCTTTATATTTACTTTAGAACCCATCGGGGACCATGACATTTAGTTTGTGAACTAGGTAACAACACCCAATCAAGGGGTACATGGAGCTGAAATCCATCCCTGGTGAGGGTGATATTGACAATTTGAAATTCTATTCCCCCCCCTAATTTAAATCAACATGTATTAAGTCTATACTCTGTACCACAAAATTAGACATCATTTCCCCAAATCTGACTGTTCAAAGATCAGGCAGCCATCTGAGGAGGGAGATGGGGTGATTGTTTCTGCAGTAAATCTGTGAGTAGGATCCTGCGGGACCTTAACCAGACAGAGGTGGTCACTTTGTTTCAGAAAACAGGACAGGAAGTGGGGCTTAGAGAAATTCAGTCAAGACAGGAGTCTTTGAAATGAGAAGGAGGCGAAGGAAATATGTGCTTGGAACTGAATCTGAATCCTATACATTTGGGTTGATAAGGCCACACAACCCTGTTAGGGCAGGAAGGACCAAAAAAATGAAGTAGATATTTAGTTGGGTCCAGCCTTCAAAGGACTCAAGTTTATCTTTATGGCAACCCCATAAGGGAGCATAATCTAAGCCTTCAAAATATTTTACCCAGCCTCAGCTTTCTACTTCCAAATTGTATTTAATCAAATATTTAATCACCTCCTCTAGATCATTCAGAAAATATTATTAGTATTTTATAGGTTATGAAAGCATTTTCATTGCTTATTTATCATTTACAATTCCCCCATTAGCTTTCAAAAGAGATTTGAGGCTGCCTAAGATATAAACTGCATATGTCATATGGTTTTTAAAATATAATAGTATAAAGAAGTAAAGGAAGCTTTATGATAGCCCTTATTTTTTCTTTCATAGAAGTCACATTAAAAAATCATGCCATGCTAAGGTACAGAAAGCTTACACTTAATACTAGAGCTTCCTTATTAAAGTCCTGATTTCTTACCTTGTGTTGAACTTGCCTGTATGCCAACATTAACCGAGGGATCCCCATGGGCCAGGCACTATCCAGTACTTTACAAGCATTAACTTGTCTCACTCCTGAAACACACCCATTGGGGGGATATCATCAACTTTATTTTAAATGAAAGAAAACTCAAGATTAAAGAGCTTAAGTAGCTTGCTCAAAATTTACACAGCTAGTGAGTGGCTGAGAGAATGCTCATCCAGGTAGGTCTGATGGTCTCCAGAGCACTTTATTGCTAATCAATATTTTTATTTATTTTAATTTTATTAAATTTATTGGGATGAAATTGGTTAATACAAATATATGTTTCAAGTGCACAATTCTATAATACATCATCTGTATATTGCATGATGTGTTCAATTCCCAAAGTCTAGTCTCCTCCATCACCATATATTTGAACCGTTTATCCTCTTCCACCTTCTCCTTCCCCCATTCTGGTAACCTCCATATTTTTGCCTGTTTCTATACATTTGTTTTGTTTATTAGTTTGTTGCTTTCTGTTTTATATCTCACATATGAGTGAAATCATAAATATTGGGTAGCATCCTATTAGTGGATGGATCATAAGATCAATTTCAAAGCTTGTAATCCCTTTTCAAGCAAATATGATAGAATAACAATGATCAGAGTACATCCCACAAAGTAAAAACAAGTAATATTTCAAGAAATTTTATTTACAGTCTGTGTGTAAAATTTATATGTGATACAAAATTTATTTCTAACTGTAAATTACTATCTTAAAAAATGCCAAAGCTACTACACTAAAATATATTGACCCTCACTCACACACATTCCAAACATAGGAGGACTACTAGTTTTCATAAATCTGCTTTCTACAGAAATCTTTATAAGAAATAAGTTAAGAGATTTGAGCTTGTGGAGGGCAGAGCCGGGCGCGCGCAGGGAGGCGGCGGCGCAGGTGAAACTGAGGCCCCTTCAAGTGAAGTGACTTGCCTACGGCTACACAGCTGGATCACTCTGGCTACTGTGTTGACAAGAGACTGTGGGGGGCAAGGGTAGTAGCTGGAAAACCTGGAGGAGGCAACTGCACTAGTCTAGATCTCCTTGGCGTGCTCCCTCTTCACGCTGCTCTTGCCACTGGGACTGGGGCGGCCGAAAAAGGCGCCACCTCTGGTGGAAAATGAAGAAGCTGAGCCAGGCCGTGGTGGGCTGGGTGTAGAGAAGCCGGGGCCCCTGGGTGGAGGTGGGGTATGGGGGCCCCAAATGGGCTTGCCTCCCCCTCCCCCGGCCCTGCGTCCCCGCCTTGTGTTCCACACCCAGCTGGCCCACGGCAGTCCCACTGGTCGCATCGAGGGCTTTACCAATGTCAAGGAGCTGTATGGCAAGATCGCGGAGGCCTTCCGGCTGCCAGCTGCCGAGGTGATGTTCTGCACCCTCAACACCCACAAAGTGGACATGGCCAAACTCCTGGGGGGCCAGGTTGGGCTGGAGGACTTCATCTTTGCCCATGTCAAGGGACAGCGTAAGGAGGTGGAGGTGTTCAAGTCGGAGGAGGCGCTGGGCCTCACTATCACCGACAACGGGGCCGGCTACGCCTTCATCAAGAGCATCAAGGAGGGCAGCGTCATTGACCACATCCAGCTCATTAGCGTGGGCGACAAGATGGAGGCCATCAACGGGCAGAGCCTGCTGGGCTGTCGGCACTACGAGGTGGCCCGGCTGCTCAAGGAGCTGCCCCGAGGACGCACCTTCACACTGAAGCTCACGGAGCCCAGCAAAGCTTTTGAGATGATCAGCATGCGTTCAGGGGGTGGCCGTCCTGGCTCCGGCCCGGAGCTGGGCACTGGCAGAGGGACTCTCCGGCTCCGATCCCGGGGCCCTGCCACTGCAGAGGATCTGCCCTCGGCCTTTGAGGAGAAGGCAATTGAGAAAGTAGATGACCTGCTGGAGAGTTACATGGGCATCAGGGACACAGAGTTGGTGGCCACCATGGTAGAGCTTGGGAAGGACAAGAGGAATCCAGACGAGCTGGCCGAGGCCCTGGATGAGCGGCTTGGTGACTTTGCCTTTCCTGATGAGTTCGTCTTTGGTGTCTGGGGTGCCATTGGGGATGCCAAGGTCGGCCGATACTAGGACTCCCACTGGACCTTGCGATGACCTGAGCCGGGCCTGGTGGGAGCCTCTGGGGTGAGGGCACCAGCGCCCAGGCTCCGGCATCCGGCTCCGCCTGGCCCTGGCCCAGCAGTCCCAGGATGTGGCGTGGAGGTGGGGCTGAGCCCCTGCCCCACTCCAGTTGGTACCACTCCTCCCTAATCCCAGCCTGGCTGGGGTCCCCAGCTGCCCCCCTACTCCCACCCTGTTCCCCACCTACCTCAGCCAGATCAGGCTCTGGGAGGGACCAGCCAGATTGGGCAGCCAGACCCCACCCGCAACACTTTCCACATCAGCGGCCAAACTGGTCCCTCTGTCTCCCTGCGGCCTCGGGTTCTGTTTGGGGGTCCTGACCTCCTGGTTTCCTGACATAAGGAATTCAAAAGGGAGAGCGTCCCCCCCCCCCCCACACAGCAAATGCAATAATGCCCCCTCCCGCCATTCCTCCAGAGGAGCTCCCTACCTCTGCATTTGAAACACAAGTCTGCTGTGAACCCCCCACCTCCCCACCCCACTCCTATGTCTCCCTCAGCCCAGCCCTGGACAGACAGGGCATGAGGGATGATGGCGGTGGGCTTTTGTATCTGAATTTGCTGTCGAACATAAAGACTCCGCTGTTGAAGAAAAAAAAAAAGAAAGAAATAAGAGATTTAAAAATCCATGACTCAGTATACATGTCCCCGTGGGAAGCAACTTCACAAGCCAACCCCGAAGCAGAAAAAGTTTTCCTAAAATAGTCAGATCTGACTTGTCCTGGGCCTATTTGCTGATAGTAAATCATTCATCCACCACTGCAGCAATAGTGGAGAAAATAGATTTTTCTTTTGTAAGAACAAAAGTCCAGAGATTTCAGGAAAGCATTTGAGAGCCATGCTCTCCACTCAGGGAAGACCCACAGCTTCTGGGGAGAATGTGCACTATTACATCCAGCAGCTTCCAAGAGAGGGCCAGATTCTCCTCTTCTATGCCTTTGCTGCATAAAGAACTAAAACTTGAGTAATCCAATACTCCACTCATTCTCTAATGATATCACTGAAAGGTTAACATTAACTTGTAACTCACACATAGCTTTAGTGCTGAAAATCAAACTCCTGCCCTAAAACAAAGGCACTATTTCTTAAACAATGAGGGCCAGCAGGCTTCACATACTTTACGAGAACTTGGTGATCATTCTGCTGGGAGAACACCTTGCTACAGGCAGCATGTCTTAGAGGGCCCAGCTCTCACAAAGGCATTTTCCTAAGATCCAGAGTCGAAGTGCTTTCATGTTTTCAGTCTCCATTTCTTCATCTTTACATGTAGATATTAACACCAATCACACCAAGTTGCTACTAAATGAAATAATTAGGAGACACCCGCCACAAAGTAGATGATGCTTCACAAAGGTTTGTTCTCTGCCTTTCTGCCATGTTAAAAAACATTGTCACACCAATCCAAGGAAATTCCTGGCCATGATGCGAAACTTCAATGTTGTGGCTAGAGACACTTTGCCAACATCCCTCTCTCCTTTCCATTAGTCATACTGAACTGTAGCCATGCCTGAGTCTACACTCTTCTAAATCAATTTCTGTGAAGTTTTATGTTGTACTCCTTTTAAAAAATACATGACTACCACCATTCTACCAAAATATGTATAAAGAACACATCTCTTTACTTCCTGGAAAAGTACTCTTACAAAATTGAAAGAATGTCTCTTACATCTAAGTTTCTGGAATTTCTTGGTCATCTTATGGTCAGAAATAGTTAACTCTGTAAATGTTATCTTTCCTTTCTGGGTTTCTTCATTTAATGTAGCAGTTGTTCAACTTTCATTCATCTTCTCTTATGTTCCCTGCCCAAGAAGATGATTTTTAGTTCATTTTCATAGGGGACTTATGCTTCTTGAAATGTAGGATCCTTATTCAATTGATATTCTCATAGCACAGTGATTAAGATGGCCCTGTGGAGTCAGGGGGATGACTCAAATCTGCCCTTTGTGACTTCCCAGATGGATGACTGCATTTATCCCTCAAACATATATATATTTGCTGGGGTCCAACCCCAGCAGGTCCAGGGGTCCCCAAAGGTGTGGACGGAGTCGGCGAAGAAGGAACGACACGGAGACAGCCTTCAGTTGATCAGCAGCCTAGCCAGGATCTCTAGCCAAGTTCTGATTTGGATCTCCAGCCAAGTTCTGTTTGTGTGGTTTTTTTTATTGTCTTGTTACATCTGTATTTATACCAGTTGATTTTAATCCTGTCAATTTCTATTCCAAAGGTTAGGGCATTTCTTATCTCCATTCCAGGGAGTAAAGATTATGTAGCTTAAGGGTGATTGTTCATAATTAAAGTGATTAACTACCAGCCTGGCATTTAGTTAAGGGGTTTTATCCCCTCCCTAACTTCAGGGAAAAATCCCTACCTGGGGAAACAACCTTTCTCAGAGAGGTGACCTTGGTTAAAACACATAGTGCCAAGAAGGTGAGCAAACACATCAAGAACAGCACGCCATATACGCCAGGTCCCTTGAAACATACACTGTGCAGATGTTTCCTTTCTGCAGCAACCGCACCAAGCAGCAAGGATGGACTGGCTTCCAGCATATATTTATCTCAAGAATAACTGAGATAAACCACTGTGCCAACCACCTAGCACACAGTGAGCTCAATGAGATATTGTTACTTACTATGATCTCCTTATTCAAATGTTGTTCTGGATTTCTAAGTTATACTAACACTGTCTTTTGCATATGTATTTTTTGTTACAAGTCACTTCAAATCCTTCTTGTAAAAGATTAATGAGTAAATAAATCCAGCAATTTGATCCTGTGAGCTCACAGTCTAGCCTTTCTGTTTCTAGGAGTGGATTTGATTTTCTCCGAAAGTAGGACAATTGCTTCAGTATTGCTTACTTAGACTTCCTGAAGTGACTTCAGAATAAGCCTTGATTCCATTCTTGGTGTAGCTGATGTTAGATATGATTGCAATTGTTCATAGAAATTGTGCATTATGAATAACACCAGACAAACTCAACTCATAGGGTTTTGTGAAAATTAAATGGGGCAATGTGAAAAGAGTTTGGACATATTAATGCTTTCTTGCTATTACATAAGATTTGTGTCCTCTCTTTCACACAGATTTTGCACTGACTGAAGACAGTGTAATCACTCCTTTGTGCCAAAAAGGATATTTCCCCTGTGGGAATCTGACCAAGTGCTTGCCGCGTGCTTTTCATTGTGATGGTGTGAACGATTGTGGGAATGGTGCTGATGAGGAGAACTGTGGTGAGGACTCCCGCTCAGCTCCATATGTGTACCCCATTTTGTGAACCTTCAAACTGTGGGTGAATCAGATAATAATTATAATGAAGTGGAAAACATGGTTTGTTATTCTATAGGGAAACCCTTTGTAACACAAATAATAGCTCCCAAATTTATTTATGACTAGAGGCCTGGTGCACGAATTCATGCATGGGTCAGGTCCCTCTGGGTGGCCTGCAGGGAATGGGTCAAAACCCACAGTCCAATGCCTCCTTCAGCTCCTACCTGCCACTTCTGCTCATTCCAGCCCCACTGTGCCTGCTGCAGGCTTGTGCCCAATCATTCCTGATCAGGAGAGGCTCGTGCTGCTGCAGAAGCACTCGCCAGCCATGAACCCTGTGTCTAGCGCCCTCCCAAGAAGAGTGGCCTGCGGGATTGGGCTGAAACTGGCTCTCCAACATCCCCTTAGGGATCCCAGATTGTGAGAGGGTGCAGGTCAGTCTGAGGGACCTCACCAGTGCAAGATCGGGCAGGGGAGGGGCCCTGGGAGGGCTCCAGAGTGTGTCCGGCCCATCTGGCTCAGTCCCGATAGGCCAGACCCCAGCAGCAAGCTAACCTACTGGTCAGAGTATATGCCCCCTGGTGGTCAGTGAACGTCATAGCAAGTGGTTGAGCAGACATAGTATATCATTAGCATATTAAGCTTTGATTGGTTGTTTGGTTGTTCTGCCATTCAGTCTATTCGCATATTATCCTTTTATTATATAGGACTAGAGGGCCAGTGCATGAATTCGTGCATAGGTGGAGTCCAGCCAGCCTGGCCCCAATTGGGACAGATCGGGGCTGGGCCTTTTGGGAGAAGGAGACAGTGAGAGATTGGCCAGCTGTGGGGAGGGGCCATGGGCAATTGGCCGGAGGGCCCCACCCCCAATTGGGGTGGGGTGGTCTCTTGGGGACAGGGCCAGCCATGGGGAAGGTCTGTGGGCAGTGGGCTGGCTGGCCACGCCCCCAAATCGGGTGGGGGGCCAATCGTGGGTGGAGTTGGCTGGGGGGAAGGGCGCTGGGACAATCAGGGTGGTGGGGGCTCATTGGGGGCAGAGCAGGCTGAGGGGAGGGATTTCAGGCAGTTGGCTGGCCAGCCCTAACCCTGATAGGGGTGGGGGCGCTGATCCTGGTTGGGGCCAGGTGGGGGGAGGGGCTGCAACAGGTTGGCTGGCCAGCCCCGCCCCCTATTGGTGTGGGGCGGGCAGATCAGGGGTGGGGCCATCTGGGGGGAGGGGCCAAGGGAGGTTGGCCAGCCGGCCCACCCCCTGATCAGGTCAGTTTGCTGACCGCAGTGGGTGTCATAGCAACTGGTTGTTCTGGTCGTTAAGGCATTCTGGTCACTGGCTTTTTATATATATATAGATAATTAACTGAACTTTCATATACAGAGGTTGTTTAAAATAGAAACACAGTATTACAAAGCATTATATTTGATAAAAATTATATTTTAAATTCTACTTGGATATACATATTTTAATTTTAAATGCCTTTTTATAACTACCTTGTTATGGCTTTGTAATTGGTTCAATATGAATGGACCTGCCAGAGAATTTACTTAACAGACCCATGTTGAGTGCCCACAATGTCCCAAGTGCTCTCAAAATCACTGGGACCCAGCAGGTTTAAGGGAGACAATAATCTTGCCTTTGCAAAGTTCACATGGACCATGTGAACAAGGAGAAGAATAAACTTATACATAAATAAATACTTTCAGAGTGATAGTGCCAGGAAGTATATAAAACAGGATAATGGGCTAGAAAGTGACTTGGAGGGAGGGCTACTTCAAAGACATACCAGAGAAAGCCTGTCTGAGATGATGTTTGAATTGAGAATGAAATGAAGAGGGAAACCATGAAGTATTCTGGAGGAACAAAGTTCCAGGCAAAGGAATAAGCAAGTGCAAGGGCCCTGAGGTTGCATGAAATAAGACAATGTGTTTATGATACAAAAAAAAAAGCCAGTGTGGCTTGCACAGAGTGAACAAGAATATAGAGGGTGAAGAATTAAGCAGAGGCCAGATCATGAAGGGTCTTACAGGCCATTTTAAGCCTGTATATTGAAACTGTATATATTGTCTAATATAACCTGTGCATTTTCTTCTCAAAGAGACTGTGCCAAGAGAGGCTGCCATGCCTAGTTAGTCACAGAGTAGACACAAAGACCCAGATCTTCTGAATCTGAAAGAATCCCATGTGTTTTATACCACACAGAGCTGCAACTTGTTATCACTGCCCAGCTAGCAATCAAGGGGACACAGCAAAATCCAGCATGCTCAGCTGATAACAATTTTGAAAAAGAAATGTATTTTAATAAACACTGCCTTTATAATTATTCAAAGCGTGTGTATATATTTTGAAGGATACCCTATGTTTCCATTATATATTTTATGATACATACATTTGAAATCTTTGTAATTTCAAAAAAGAGAAAAACTCTAGATGTCTACCTAGTGTTTTCTCTCTTACCTTCAATGCTATCATTCTATTCTTTAAAGCAATTTTAACTGATTTTATTATCAAACTATTAGACTTTTGTTTTGCACTTTGACATTTGATTTACACCATAACTGACACATATTCATCACCATTTTACAGGGGACACTAGTGGATGGGCGACTATATTTGGCACAATCCATGGAAATGCTGATAAAGTGGCATTCACCCAGGAGTGCTGTAAGTGGCATTGCTTCAATGACTCTGGACGTTTTGAGATGTATAGGTTTATATGAGGAAGGTGATCAATTCCCTTTATATTTCCATTTCAGTTCAATGTGTTTTAGGATCACACTATATCTACTATATGCCTGGGGACTGAAAAAGTAAAGAGAAAAATACAAAAAGCTCCATTCATGCTCATTATTATTTATTTTTTAAAATATATTTTATTGATTTTTTTTTTGAAGAGAGGAAGGGAGAGGGATAGAGAGTTAGAAACATTGATCAGCTGCCTCCAGCACACCCCCCACTGGGGATGTGCCCGCAGCCAAGGTACATGTCCCTGGCTGGAATCGAACCTGGGACCCTTCAGTCCGCAGGCCGACGCTGTATCCACTGTGCCAAACCGGTCAGGGCTCATTCATGCTCATTATTGTATTAGTTTCTGATACAGGTGTGGACTAATTATGATAAGTAATAAAGAACTTACTCCCTTTAATTACTTTCTTCATACCAACTACTTTTCAGCTCTTACGGTAGGAATTGAGGGTCTAATACTAAGATGTGGCCTTAGCTCACACATGCTTAATATTGTAACAGGAAAAACAAGTCCCTATAGAAGCAGGAATGATTCAGTATTAGTGAAAAACTTGAGGAATGGTGTTTGCATAAGGGAACATGGAAATCCCTTGGAAGAAATAATGGCTCTGCCATGGATGGGAAAGACCCAGAGAGAAGATGACATTGAGATGAACTTAGAAAGTCAATGGATGGAGGGAAGGGTAAGAGGTAACAGAGTCAGCAGGAGAGAAAGATCAGCAAAATCCTGAGGGGAGAAGGTACAGGGCATGCTTCTCAATGCCTTTCATAGGGTGCTGAATGTGTGGTGGGGGAAGAGCAGGAGCTGAACCTGGAAGCATAGGGCCTGTCCATAAAGCATTTGGGCTGCATGCTTTGGAGTTTGGCCTCTATGTTATAGACAGAATTGTGTCTATGTATACACATGTATTACATATATGTGTAATAATCTAATATATTATATTATATTATATAGAATATACATGATATAGGTACACACATAGACATAATTATGTAGGTGTATGAACAATAAAATACAACACTATCAGTATATTATACACTTTGAAATACCAGGTTATAATTACCACTTATCATATATTATATTATACACAAATATATCATATATAAAAGTTAGAAATTAAAAAGAGTAAATTAAAAGATTAGAAATAAATATAACTGAAAATTTTGATAGTTTCTCCCTGCACCACAACGGGTCATTTTGTAAACACCCCTTTGTGGAGATCACTTCTGTACACGTGGCAACCACCAAAGTTTTGAGCCTAATTTTCTTTTATGAAGAGGAAAAGGCTCACAATAAGAAGTATTTGTGATAATGATGTTCCCATCAGAATTGTAGAGATTAGATGAGAATGGTGATTCTCAACTTGGGAAACTCCCCTCCCACCACTCATCCCGCCAGAACATTTGACAATGCTTGAAGACGTTTTGGGTTGTCACAGCTGGAGGGAGGTGGGTTACTACTGGCATCTAGTGGGCAGAGGCCACAGATACTGCTGAACACCCTAAAGTGCACAGAACAGCTCCCAACAACAGGCAGTAATCTGATCCAAATGTCAATCTTGCCTGAGGAGAAAGAATGCTGACAGAGATACTGGTTACTATGTTTCTTGCAATGCTCCAGACTAATACTAAGAATCGGAACCCAGAAAATACCATTGGGAACAGTGAGGTAGAGATGCAAGAGGCATTTCAGAAGACTCCACATAGCTTGGGCTGAGGTTAGCTTGCAGGTGAGGAAGTTCTGCTCACAGTCTGGTTTAGGCAACAGGACCAGCTTGGGCTATCCGGAATTCTTTTATTGGTAAACAAGGGTGTCCAACCACAAGTTTTCAATGTAATTAACACTATTCTCAATATCAATAGACATTGAAGTAGTATTTAGGAAGTTGAGCTAATTAGCATAAACTTATAAATGATATAGAATATTTTCCAAAACTTTATACACTAGAAGGCATCTTGTGAATTAAGTAGGTACTCAACACAAGTTTCTTGAATTGATGAAAAGTCAGTGAAATTGTTTTTTAAAATCGAGTTTGGATAAAAGTAGTCTGAAAGAAGCCAAGCAATTACAAAGAATTTATACTCAGATTAAAATGACTAATAATAAAGCTTAAATTTTGAAAATAACTCTTTCTTAGCTCCATCAAAACAAATATCCATGGAATTAGAGGCAAAATCAAATGCTTCATAAATGGGTGTTCGCCCTCATACCACCCCCCCCCCCAACCACCACCACCACATACATGTGATTGATTGTCCCATGGGCCAACGTGGTCTGGTTTCACCATAGAGTTCTCACTCCTTTATGTCATTGTCTTAATAATTATGAAGGCTCCTTCAGAGCAAGTTCTGAAGACTTTTCTCCTTCTAAATGCTTCCAAAAAACGACCCTTCAGTTTTCTTGGCTTTGTAGCTGCTCTGTACCCTTTACCTTCCACCTTAACTTCATAGCAATAAACACAAAAAACCCAGGTGAGAGCGTATCTGACTTGGTTGATTTTAATAGGCATGATGGTGGCTACTGTAAAACCTGAATCTAACTCTTCTCTAAGAGGAGCTTAAAGGGGGGAAAGACTTGAATTTAATTTGAATCAACAAGTGTTTATTGAGCTGCCTCTTTATGCCACTTGATTAAATTAAATTGACTCAATTATACCCATCAAAGATTTACTCAAACATACTAATGTCCCTCATTGAGAAGAACATAATCTTGTTTCCCTATACATTTTGTTTGTTTGTTTGGGGTTTTTGTTTATTTGCTATTTAAACATTTCCATGGTTTCTTTCTAATCGCTTGTTAAGTGACTATGAAAAGAACACTGGGAGCTTGAACTGAGATGAATGCCACACTGGTCAGTATTTGACTACAAGAGAATTTTTATTTTCTTTTATTATGGGACTGAATTATTTCATGAACATATAAATGTTATACATTCAAAGAAAAGAGAACAATGTCAGTTATCAGAGATAAAGTCATAATTAAAGTATTTGCCAAGTGAAATCTTGCTCTTTTGGGCCCCTAGTTCTAAACCAGTATCCACCACGTTGTGACTGCAAAGAAACAGAATTGGAGTGTGTGAACGCTGACTTAAAGTTGGTGCCGCCCGTTTCCAGCAACGTAACGCTGCTGTGAGTAGAATTCACATCTTAATGATATTTGCTCCTAAAGTCACTGGAAAAGTGTGGAGCCTGATCTAATCTCTCTTCGTTATGTTTTATGTTACTTGTATATTAAAAAATAATAGAAATACCCTTTAAAACAGCCTGTCATCCAAGAATTCTGTGTGCTTCTTCTCTGGGGAAACAACGTCTTAAACATTGTACGTTAGGTTACCCAGGTTATCCTTTAGCTCACAAATTCTTGTCATCTGAAGTTCTTATTTTCACTTACTTTATGATTTATGTATTGTTGTTAATATGCCATTACTATACAATTAAAAATCAAAATTAAGGGAGAGCACTCACTTATTTTACCTCCTTTTTAAAAGTGGTAATTTGTTTGAAGTAGGAAGGTATAAGAGAGCTAGTTGTGTCATAATCATGTATGTGTTTGTGTACTTTGCATAATGTTTTCAGAGTCTCTGGAATTTGCTGTCATATCACAATTTAGGCATGCATAAGCTGGTTGTTTTTGGGGTCTTGTTTATTGTGTTCTATTAAAATATCCAAAGAATAAAAGACAAAATTAAATCCCCATAGATGTCCCCGTCTATTATGCCAACTGTCTAAAGTGGTCAAATGCTTGCAAGCTGTTTTAATTTTGTGCTATGGACATTTTGTTATCACATGAGAAAGTCTTCAGTTACAACAGTGCTTTTCAAATGTATGAAGCAGAGTGAAGGGTCATCAGAAAGGCTCTTCGCAAGCACAGAGCTTCCAGGAAGAGTTTGTTTGGTCATAAAATCCTTACTGAAATCTTCTTTATATGTTATTTTAGGTCTCTGAAGAAAAACAAAATTCACAGTCTTCCAGATAAAGTTTTCATCAAATACACAGAACTTAAAAAGATGTAAGTAGCTATTAAGGGTGTATTAATGGGAAAATCCAGTGGGGTATTTTTTATGATGTTTTTGATCTAAAAGTAAAACAAAATATAAAGTTGATTATCTTTATATTAAATTTACTTATCTAAATGTAATTAATAGTAGATAATAAAGCATTAAAAAGTATATTATCTTTCCATTTCATAATTTAAAGTGAACTGGTTTATTATAAACATTTGTGGAGCTAAATTGGAGTTCAGATGAAGCAGCTCAATAAAAAAATACATAGTTCTGTGCTTTTACTCCAAGTCATTTGGAAAATGACATTGCAGATTCAGAGGCACTAATTGCACCTTTTACCTTGGAAAAAGAGTGTTAGCACAAAAACACTGACCAACTTATGGGAAGTCCCTCTTTTTTTAATGAAGTAAAACCTTAACCTCTTATTCAATAAATGATTGCTCCTTCTGGCAGCTCATCTTATGAAAAAGCATAGGGTTGAGAAAAAAAAAAAAAAAAAACAAAAACACTGACCAAAACAAAACACACACACACACACACACACACACACACACACACACACACATATACACACACACACACACACATACACACACACACACAAGGGGACATCTGTAATAGCTTTCAACAATAAAGGTATATTAAACAAACAAACAGAAAAAACACTGACAAGAAAGATCAGATAATTTAACACACAGAATGCTGAGATACAAACTGTCTTTCAGGATGACAGAAGAAAATGTGACCTTAGTGAAAGCAGGGATATTATATCTGAGGAAAGAAAATGTGAATAAACCGCACAGTCAGCAGTGAAGAGATGCTAGTCAGTGAGGAGCTAAGTGCCAACATGCTTCCAGCATTGTCCCAGAAAGAAAACCAGGGTCTGGGAGATGTGATCTCTGAGATCATCTCTCAGGAGGAGAGAGGTGGATTGTCCAACTCCACCTCAACTTGCATGAACCATCTTTTTTTATTTTTTTAATATATTTTATTGATTTTTTACAGAGAGGAAGGGAGAGGGATAGAGAGTTAGAAACATCGATGAGAGAGAAACATCGATCAGCTGCCTCCTGCACACCCCCTACTGGGGATGTGCCTGCAACCAAGGTACATGCCCTTGACTGGAATCGAACCCGGGACCCTTCAGTCCACAGGCCGACGCTCTATCCATTGAGCCAAACCGGTCAGGGCATGAACCATCTTTTGACAGCATCCACATCAAAATAGAAATGGCTTTTGCTTTGCTTCCCTGCTCACTGAACAACCTTATGATGACTACATTAACTTCCCAAATTATTCATCCTAAAGTATTTTGGAAGTTACCTTGGATAGACACCAAACACACTCCTATTAGTGAAATGGGATACCATCTATTTAAATAAAGACATTGAGAATGTTCAGCATTTGAGAGTTTGGTAGCTATGTATCAGTCCCTCTGAGCTATGTATCACTCTGGGATAATGAAGAGATCAAGTTCTACATTTGCCAGGATTATCCTTAGACTAGATTTTAAAATGAGCAAGGTAATACTGTAGGGACCCCTTGGCAGTGCCATCTTATTGTTTGGTTCTTCAACATTAGCTATGGAGGAGAACGTTAAAATCCAGGAATAAAAACAATCTGGTCCTTTGCTGCTCCTGAACAGATGCACTTGGTTTGAAATCCCATCAACAATTCTGTGTTGTTGTGAATTGGGAACAGACTCCCTCATCCAAGAAAGGGAGTCACCAAAGGATGACAGGACCTTGTGTGAGTGTAGGAAACCATGCCGAGGTTTCATTACAGCCTCTGTAAATCCCATTTGCTGTAGGAGCCTGCAGCTTCATCCTGGAGCATGTGGTCATATTGTCCTTGTCCCACAGGAGTAGCTATGCCTTGGCTCTGGGTTTCCAGATTCCTCTAGAGAAAAGGTTTTAACTGTACTACTTCTGGTCTTACTGGAAATTCATAGAATCACCACTTGTTCATTATAGGAATCAATATTGCCTCTGTGCAGCCTGAATAATGCTCAAGGGAGGAAAAATAAAATATCACTGGCAAAAAGGAAGGGAAAAGACTCATGCTTTAGAGTAGCTTTTAAATTTTGTTATCTAGAGTTTGAGAAAAATTTATGAATTTCTAATTAAATCTTATTAATCTTAAGGTAACTTATGACAGTCTGCAATGGTTAAATAACTTACTAGATCTATAACTAGTTAGTGTAAAAGCCAGAATTAGAGCCCATATCTTCTGATACTCAATGCAATGTTTATTTTACTTTTAAAGTATATTTTATTGATTTCAGAGAGGAAGGGAGAGGGGGAGGTAAATAGAAACATCAGTGATGAGAGAGAATAATTGATCAGCTGCCTCCTGCATGCCTGACACTGGCGATTGAGCCTGAAACTCGTGCATGTGCCCCGACCAGGAATCCAACCATGACCTCCTACTTCATAGGTCGATACTCAACTGCTGAGCCATGTTGGCCATGCCACTGTGTTTAACTTATAATAACCAGAAACTACAAGATAGAAAGAATTTGTTCTTAGCATCTAATTGAATCTTCTACCAACACACCCTGTCCTGCTTCATGCAGAACTCCCTTCTATACCTTTTGCCTCCTAATTTGAAAGAGGCTGACTTCTGGGGAGGCAGGGGGCGGTCACTAAAGGATCAAGTAAAGAGAATTACAGTTAGACTTCTTAGGCCAAGTTCTTTCCTGGACCAGTGAGCCATAGCTTTGTTCTAGGTCAATACTTACCTCGCATGGTATCTGCCAGCTCACTGAAAAGCAGAATATGGGAGGACTAGCTTAAATAACTCAGGCTCCAATTTTTTTGTGAAAAAAAAGTAGGAATTAATGTTAGTTGCCAGATCAGGTGGAAACTTTTCCAAGTAAATGTTTAACTCTGCTTTGTCTGAGAAAATTTAGGTAAAACATTATAGCCTGATATCTCCCAGCAGGGGTTCTCTTGATGCAAGTTATTTGATGCTTTCTAGGCAATTTGATTCCTCCTCCCCTCCTGAGACTCACAGATAATAGATTATAAGACTCCCATCAGTAAACATTCACTAAATGTCTATTATATGCAAGGGATAGCACAGGCTCTGAATATACAGCAGAAAACACTTATGAAAAGCCCTCTTCTCACAGAGCTTAACCTCCAATGGAGGAAGATAGATAACAAAATACATAGTGTGTTAGATAGTGATTAGGGCTATGGAGAAAAATAAACCAGGAAGGGAATTAAAGGTTGCTGAGGGAAAGGAATTTTAAACAATATCAATATGCTAATAAACTGTGTCCTGTCACATAACTCTACTACTTCCCCAAGCATCTCAAAAGCTCCTCCCATTCTAAAATTCACCTCATGAGACTGATCAAAGCACACCCAATCAGGCTTCTATGTGACTCTTCAGATATTTAACACTGACCATCACCCTGCAGCCCATCACAAGTCCTTTTTCCAAGCAGCCTCAGAACCTTCAATTCTTCCCTAAGAGGCTGGTTTTAAATCTGTCATCATCTGCTGACACTACTCTGCCCTGTGTGTAGTATCTAGAATAATATGATCACTGTAATGCGGCCATAGAACTTCCTTTCTGAACCTCACATGTGCTAAAGTTACATTTGCTCTTTTGGTAGCTACTTCATACCCTTAACTCACAGCCATCTTGCCTCTAAAGTTCCCAATCCTGTGTCAAATGTATCACTGCTAAGTGATAGCTTCTCCATCTTGCAGTTGTCACTTATCATTTGAGAGCTAGCTGTGGGTCCTTAAATGTACCCCTATCCAGTCTCATCCTGCTAGATTCAGCTTTTCTTACCAGAGTATGAATATCTTTTTGGATCATCCAACATAATTCACTCCCAGTATTCTATCACCTGAAAATAAGATGATCCATCTTTACTCAAGTCATAGAGTGAAACACTGAAGAGGACAATCATCTTCCAAGACCTCTTTACCAATATTCTTTAGAAAATGTGTATCTTTATTTTTGTCCATAAAAACATCATTAAACCACCATGTCAATGCCTGATAAACATATAAGCAATGTTGGCCACACATTTTTATCTGATCACTTTTTCAAAGACAATCAAGTTGGTCTGCTTGTCCTGTTTTTCATGAACTACCTTATCCGCTTTCTCTCTGAGTCGCTTACAAAGCAGCATTTCAATAGCTTGTTCTTCAATCTCTCCTAGAACCAATGTAGCTTATGAAATCCACTTCTTCCCTTTTTGAAAAATTAAAATTGCATTTTCCATCTTTAATTTTCCAACTGCTCTTCCTTTGTCCAGATTCCTCTGTAATTGATCATGACTTGGTGTTCTCATTTTTGTGTTTCTCAGTTTCTAGGAGACATCTTCCAAACCATGGGACTTTGACTCATTTTGATTAACATATTCTACCATCTTGGGCTTTCACATCTCCTGTCCGATATCCTTTCTATTTCCTTCAGTCTGAGATCATCTTCATTGACTGAGAAGACAGAAACTATGTAGGAGTTGAGAATTTATTTTGTATACTATTTCATAATATCATAAATTAGAACCCATATAGTAGGCTTGAACTTTTTATTAAAATTGTCTTATTTCTAAAATATAATAGAAATACATTGATATTGCCCACACTATTATTCACTGTCTGAGTTTTGAACATGACAAACCATTTTTCAATTCTGATTTTATTTTTGTGAACCACTCACATTTGTCCTTGAATTTTGAAGAAACTGCTCACTGACCACCATACCCTCCCTCTAAGTGTGATGATCTTTCTGGTTCTCTCATGTACCAGGTACTACTGCCGCCACCCCCGCCCCTCATTGTTGCATATGTTGAAACATAGCTGAAAATCAATGAGTATTTGTTGAAGGAACGATATGCAATACTAAAAAGATTGTGGGGAGCATCTTCAGCAGGGAGAAACAAACTAACATAAGCAGAAACACTCAAAGGATATCGGGAAGAGAGTGAACAGGGCAGGTTGTCTAAAAAAAAGTATATGCACAGGAAATGATGGTGCATGTGCTAGAAAGGTCATTGAATCATAATTGTAGGGCCTTTAAATGCCAGGCTAAAGAATTCAAGCTTTATTCTGTCTAACCAGGGAAAGGGCATGTATAAATTTGTGTTTTAGATGGTTTTGAGCTAGTAAAGTTAATATGCATTCTTAACTTGTTTTGGAATATAGCTTAAGAAATACTATATTTAACATTAAATGAGTTTCTCTGGTCTGAAATGCTGTAAATATTCACAGTGAAGTTGAGGTAATTTAGGTGCTCAGAAGAATAAATTCCTAACTCAAAATGAAATTTTTATTACCAGGTGAATAAATGTTGTTCAATTATCTGAAAGCTTTGTTATTGATTAGTTTATTAACTTTAATAATCTTTAAAAATATCAAGCCTTTCTAATTTGGGGGAGGAGCAATTTAAGATGATCTTTCAGAGAAATAAAGTATAATTTATGGGACTGACTATAATACTTTCTCACTGCTACCATGGAAACTACCAGTCATTCTCCTGCTCATTGTAACATAAACCTTACATAATTTAGGAATTCCATGTTAGACTGGTTCTTGTTCAAGGCAATCATTGGCAACAAAATGTAATTCAATGAGTCACCTGGCTCATGAATACACCATGATGAGTTAAAAAAAAATAGCCCATAAACATGCTTGTCATTAAAGTATATATTTGCTTTAGTTCCAGATAGATAAATTCCTGGTGTTTCTGCTTGAAAACTCCTGACAGCTGAAACAGCAGGAATTCATGAACCAGTAAGTTATTCTTAGAGAAGCTATTCAATGTTAAGTATATTAAATGGACTCCTATCTCCACTCTGAATAAGAAGGGAACACCACTTGCCAAATTGTCAGGTTTCCAAATTTCCCTTAATATTCACCAAGCTAGTATTCTTCAAAGAAGAAAGGGGATGCTAGAGAATAGAGTAAAAATTTGGCACCTGAGTCTGAGACAGGGCACGTAAGACTCCAGTTCGTTCTCAGGTGCCAACAAGCTGACTAAATACACTAGAAGCTCTTTATTATTTAAGGAGATGGAGTCTTAACTTGTGTCAGTGAAGGCAGTTAGGCTGTACACATCAGATAAGTCATGCAGCTCTGGATGTGTGGCTCAGTTGGTTGGAGCATTGTCCTGTACACCAAAAGACTGTGGGCTCAATTCCCAGTCAGGGCACATACCAAGGTGCCAGTTGGATTCCCAGTCAGGATGGCGTGAAAGAGAGGCAACAGATTGATGTTTCTATATCAATGCTCCTCTCTCTCTTTTTCTCTCTCCCCACCCCGCCCTCCCTTCCACTCTCTCTCAAAATCAATGGGGAAAAAATTCTTGTGTGAGGATTAACAAAAAAATTAAAAATAAAAATAAATACATCTACATTAGAAAAGACAAAGATGCTAATTGACCGTACCTTTGCTATGCCCAAGTCATGCCCACCAGCCAATCAGAACGACTATATGCAAATTAACCCAACCAAGATGGCGGCCAGCAACCACTGAATTGGAGCAAGCCAGAGGCTTGGTTGCCCCGGCGATGGAGGAAGCCAAGCTTCCTGCCGGCCCTGGCCGGCTGTGGCGTCCGCAAAAGGCAACAAAGTTTCAATTATAGAAGCTAAATAAATCCCACATACCTGCTTCCAGCCAGTCTCCAGTGGGAGCTTGGGTGGCTGGGGGCTGTGGCCAGCCTGCAAACAGCCATCAGACCCTCACCCAGGATGGCCAGGCACCCCAGGGTAGACCCCTACCCTGAAGGGGCTGTGCCCAGCCTGAAAAGAGCCATCAACCCCTCACTGAGGCTGGCCAGGCACCTCAGCAGGCACCCCCCCCCCAAAGGGGCTGTGGCCAACCTGCAAACAGCCATCAGCCCCTCAGCCAGGCTGGTCAGGCACCCCAGCAGGGGCCCCCACCCTGAAGGGGCTGTGGCCAGCCTGCAAACAGCCATCAGCCCCTCACCTAGGATGGCCACACCCTCATGGGGTGAGGGTCCCCACGGGGGCCTTGGCCAGCCTACAAACTGCCATCAGCCCCTCACCCAGACTGGCCAGGAACCACAGCAGAACCCCCCATCCTGAAGGGGGTGTGGCCAGTCTGAAAACGGCCCTCAGCCCCTCACCCAGGCTGGCCAGGCATCCCAGTGGGGACACCCACCCTGAAGGGGCTGTGGCCAGCCTGCAAACAGCCATCAGCCACTCACCCACGCTGGCCAGGCACCCCAGCAGGACCCCCCTCCCTGAAGGGGATGTGACCAGCCTGAAAACAGCCCTCAGCCCCTCACCCAGGCTGTCCAGGCATTCCAGCGGGACCCCCACCCTGATCCGGGACACCCTTCAGGACAAACCAGCCAGCCCCCACCCATGCACCAGGCCTCTATCCTATATAATAAAAGGGTAATACAGTGGGGCCTTGACTTACGAGTTTAATTCATTCTGTGACGGAGCTCATAACTCAAATTACTCGTATGTCAAATCAACAGTGAACGAATAAGACACGTGATGCTGGGCTGATGTTGTGGCATTCACTGTGACATTCTCTGTGCCAACTAGCGGTGGGGTATCTGAAGCTGGCTCATAACCCGAATTTTAGCTTGCAACTCAAAACAAAAAATCGGCTGAGAGACGGCTCATATCTCTAAAAACTCATTAGTGGGGACACTTGTAAGTCAAGGCCCCACTGTATGCAAATTGACCCTAACAGCAGAGCAACTGGGAATGACTGGTCACTATGACACACACTGACCACCAGGGGGCAGACGCTCAATGCAGGAGCTGTCCCCTGGTGGTCAGTGCACTCCCACAGGGGGAGCTCTGCTCAGCCACAAGCCAGACTGATGGCTGCCAGTACAGCGGTGGTGGTGGGAGCCTTTCCCACCTCCTCAGCACCGCTAAGGATGTCCAACTGAAGCTAGGCCTGCTCCCTGCTGGCAGGTGGACATCCCCCGAGGGCTCCCGGGCTGCCAGAGGGATGTCTGACTGCCAGCTTAGACCCAATCCCCTGGGGAGTGGGCCTAAGCCAGCAGGTGGTGATCCCCCGAGGGGTCCCAGACTGCAAGTGACGGGCCCTCCAATGACTCTCTGGGTATGCGACCCTCCTGCTGACCCACCTCTGCAGCCACAGGCATTGGTCGGCCAGAGTGAGCAGAAGGAAGGAAATAATAAAGATCAGAGCAGAATTAAATGGCATAGAGATTAAAAAAACAACAACAATACAAAAGATCAATAAAACCAAGAGCTGGTTCTTTGAAAGAATAAACAAGATTGATGAACCTCTAGCCAGGTTCACCAAGAAGCAAAGAGATATGACCCAAATAAACAAAATCAAAAATGAAAGAGGCAAAATAACAACAGATCCCACAGAAATACAAAGAATTGTAAAAAAATAAATAAAAAAAATACTATGAACAACTGGTCAACCTAGAAGAAATGGACATATTCCTAAAAAAAACGACCTTCCAAAACTCAATCAGGAAGAATCAAAAAATATAAATAGGCGTATAACTATGGAAGAAACTGAAGCACTAATCAAAAAAACCTCCAGCAAACAAAAGCCGATGGCTTCACGGGGGAGTTTTACCAAACATTCAAAGAAGAACTAAAACCTACCCTCCTCAGACTATTCCAAAAAATTCAAGAAGGGACACTTCCAAGCTCTTTCAATGAAGTTAGCATTACCCTAATCCCAACACCAGATAAAGACACTACAAAGAAAGAGAATCACAGGCCAATATATCTAATGAACATAGATGCTAAAAAGTAAATCATGACTGGCAAGTTGAAATTGGTGAACTAGGCCCAGTTCAACCTCTGGTGGTTTTTTGGACCTCAAGCACTTTGCCAACTTGCCTTGTGCTTCTCACTCTGCATCTCAATATAGAAACGAATAAAACTTGCCCTCTTATTTTTTTATTTTTAATTTTGAGGGAATAGAGCAAAGAGAAATGAGGAGTTTGCGGTAGAATTTGGCTGTGAGAGACTGGCTGGTTTCTCATGGTGAGCACCCCTGCAGGTCAGAGCAGAAAGACTGCCGAGGTTCCCATTTGCAAAAACAGAACGAGTTCCCTCTAAATGTCACACCAGAGTTCAGTGGTACATCCCAGAGATGCCCCAGTCTCACTGTATGGGTTCTACAGGGTCAGCAGGTATCAGCTGGTTCTCAACCATCTGTCCTTAGAAATGTCTTCACATTCCCATATGGGAGTTGGACTTGAGATTTCATAAGCCAAGTTCATAAATGTCTGTAGGGAAAGAAAGTGGATCACACATTCAGCAACCTGATGAAGCACGCAAACCATGATCACGTGACTCTTCTATCTTATTCCCACCAGATTTCTTCAGCATAATTGCATTAGACACATATCCTGGAAAGCATTTTTTGGATTACATAATCTGCAAATATTGTGAGTAATCTCTTTATAATTATGTTATAAGTGTAATTTTAAGTAATGATTAAAAGGGTAGAATGGTACTTTTGAAAGGTGTGACTTAGTTGTAGAGAAATGAGAAAATTACATTATTACAAAGGGCTTAGATTAGTTACTACATTGAAAGTAAGATTTAGAGGCTCTCCTTAACCTTGTTTACTCAAATTTGGGTCATTTCCACAATATTTTGGCTTTTTATTTTTTCTAACCCATGCTAACTTACCCATACACTTTCTTAAAATGCTAGTCTAAGGATGTGACCAAAAAGGACAAAAGCAAAAAATCATAATCCCTATGTTTATTCTACTCTTATTCTAAAATATAATATCCCGACATGTTATTTTGGGCCACTTTTCTGGTCCTGACTGTGGTGTTGCACACACTAAGCTTTTGGCTATCTGTGTCTCCTGTTGTCCCTCACTTTCCCCCTCCCCCTTAGTAAAGTGCTTTTAGAAACAGGTGCCCGTGCTTCATGGTCATCATCAATGGCTCATATTCTAATTCACGTGACTAAAATGGGGTCATGAATTTACCTAATTCGCTCACTCATGCTATTTGTAGATATCTCAACCACAACTGCATTACAGCCCTCAGACCTGGAGTGTTCAAGGACCTGCATCAGCTAACTTGGCTGTAAGTATTCTAGCTTTTCCTGGCCCAATCTTAATGATATTTATCAGTGTTCACAGTTTCCATCTATTTGTGTATCTTGTTTACTATACTTATTTTTCTAGTTGTCACATAATCTGGAGCACTTGAGTGGTAGCTGTGTGAAAATAACTGGTGCCATGCCCTTGCAGGTTGACCTCTGAGCCCAGAACTGGGCTTGCTGAGGCTTCTATCCACCCAGTGTTTACCTAGGGCCGCATTTCTCACCTCAGCTCTATCGGCATGTAGTACCAGATAATTCTTTGATTGGGGGAGGAGGTAATGTCCTTGTGCATTTTAGGATGTTTAGCAGCCTCTGTGGCCTCTACTTCTACCTCACTAGATGCCAGTAGTACTAGCCGCCTGAGGTTGACAACCAAAAATGTGTCCAGACACTCCCAAATGTCCCTTGGGAGAGAAATTGCCCTCCGTGGAAAACCACTGGTCTAGAAAGTAAGCACGTTAAGAATTTTTTGGGTTTCCAGAGCACTCATAGAAAAGTCTGAGTGTATAGTGGCTTTTGGTGTGTCACTACTTTCACGGCTGAGCCATCAATCTCAGCCCAAGGGGTCTCACCTCAGATGTCTGTGTTTCATCAGGGAAATGAACAAAGGGCAATTAGAAGGCACTCTGTGTCTGCTTGCCCATTTTCCATAGTTCACCCAGGCCTAACTGAAAATATCAGGGCCTCAATTTTACCCAGACCCTCTATAAACTGTGGTCCCAGGCTTAATATTGCAGGTAACTTTCTTACTCTTCCTAGGCCTCTTTTCCTCATCTGTTAACTGAAATCCTAATTGCTTTTTAAGAGCGATGTTATGAGGACTGGCTTGCATGACATATGTAAAGTGCCATATGCATTGTGCCTGGCATATAGTAGCTGCTCAATTAGCACAATGAATGTGACTCCCTTCTCTAGATCCTCAAGAACTTCTGGCAATAAGAGGAAATGGTATTTGGCTTCAAAAGCAACAAAAGAAAAGAAGGCATATTTCCCCTTAGTCTATTTTTTTTTCCTAAGAAATACCATATAGATTTAAAAACAGTAATTTGAACATGTAAATATTTTCACTCTTTCATCCTCTAAGTTCCTAATGAATTTATTTGTATCAACACCATTAAATACATCATTTAAATATTGTGAGACTATGGAACCACTTGTGATTTCCTAAACATTTTTTTCAATTCATTCTTTATTTAGTCAATTAGTGGGTCAAAGCATTTAGGGATTCCTAGTTCAGCCATTGAGTAAATGAAAGTAGCTTGTGTGTGACCCACGTGTCCAGAGGTGAAGGGTAAAACTTGGGTCTGAAAGTCCATCAGTATGGACTTGCTCAATGCTGGGCTGGGCTTTGGGAGGAAAGAGCTGCCTTACCACAGGGTGAAGGGAAGGCTCTCTTGGAGATGAGTAAGCCTAGTGTGAGGGGACAGAAAGGGGGACAGCAGGTGTTGGACAGAGGCAAGATTGTCACAGGCCTTTAATTTTTCCTGATTTTACTTCAAAAATATCTCTGACATTGGAAATGTTTGTGATCTGTTTTGTCAGAATTCTAGATGACAATCCAATAACCAGAATTTCACAGCAGCTATTTGCTGGATTAAATTCCTTGTTTTTTCTGTAAGTATTCACCTCCCTTTCAATACATCTCTCTGTACATTGCAATGACATCTAACACCAGCTTACAAAAAGAACTTTAGAAAAATCAGGCCCACTATGATCTTTATTAGTCAAAATCTCTCCTGTATTTGCAGTCACAATTACAGTTGCTACTTTCTGGCCAGGGTTCATGTATAATTTAAGCCTACCAGTTGAGTTTTTTTATCTCCTTTCCTTTCTTTTAGTCCTAAGGCATGTTTACATTTTCAGTGGTTGATCAAAGATAATGTTCATTGTTATCTCCTAACTACATATAAATTGGGTGGAATCTCCTAGAAGATTAGTCCCAACTACATTTTTAACAGAGGAAGATGTGCCCTTGCCCACCAAGATTCACTGAAATGCCAAAATATTTGCCCTACCAACAGAGTCACTCTCATACTTAGGTTGTCACTGTTTATTAATAGACTATAATGATCTATCAGCAGGGCTCTATTATGTCCCTTTGCAGTTAATCAGATAACATCATTATTTCTCCATTTGTCGGAGGGGGGGGGCACAATATCACAAATTAATTGTGCAGCTTAACGTGCTCATGAGTTGTTTTCTTGGACCAAATATCCCCTACATCACTTCTTAGATTTAATTCCAGTGTAGCTCTTTAATATTGTAAATGATGAATGTTTCCCTTAAGAAGAAACTTTGGATGAGCAGTGCTGGAAATGATTGCAAATTCGGAGTTTACAAGAAAAATTATCACCTAATATATATTTTATTTCATATTTTATTTCATCTCATAAATTAAATTGTATAACATTTATTCTCAGGTTATATGTCATACTGATGCACACATAGCTTCTTTGACATTGGTTTCCTTTTCCGCGCCACACACATATCTAGATAGCATTTTGAAGAGGAAGTTATGTTGATAGTCTTCATCCTAATAAATCAATTTTAGAATACAAGTTTCCATATTATAAGAATAATAAAAATACTGCCCTTATAGTGGCATATCATTGCTTCTCTTAAAAAGTATTTTTTTAAATTTAAGTATAGTTAGTATACAATCCAATATTGGTTACTAGTTTCAAGTGTACAACATTAATTAACATCTTTTTTGTGTAAAGGTCTATGGTTAATAACTACTTAGAAGCCCTTCCCAAGCAGATGTGTGCCCAAATGCCTCAACTTAACTGGATGTGAGTATGCATGTAGGCATTAGTTTGTTATTTGCACAGTTTGAGGAAGCTAGCCTTGAAGTTAATTCATAGTTACATAAAAATTCATCTATGTTTTTCTTCCCAAAACTAAAATCTGATCCTGTTACTTTCTGGTTTAAAAATCTTTTGAGAATTCCAGTGCGTGTGAGGTTCAAGTTCATACCTCCCCCTTGAGCACCTGGGAACCATCATTTCCCTCCTTCACCTATCTGGTCTCTACCTGCCCCTCCGCTTTCATGCCTTCTTTACACACGCACCAACAGTCACTTCCCCCAGCACACATGGTTGACTTGAAAAGTCTTGCTCCTTTATTCTCTTGGTTAACCCTAATTCCCTTCAAAAGTTCCCTTAAACATCACCTCCAGGAAGCCATCCTTGACACACTTACCAATTTCAGTGGCTGCCTCTGTGCTCCCTTTATGCCAAGAACAGACTTCCACTATGCCACCCAGTTTCTAGCCTGCACACCTACTTCACAGTACTAGAACCACTGGTTTACTGTGTGTCCCCTACCCTTTTAGAAATTTCATGAGGGCAGAAACCCAACTATGATTAGCACAATGACTGGCACATATTAGGAGCTCAACAAAACTCAGTTAAATGAAAGTGCTAAACTATTTCAACTCTTTGTTGGATTTTAATCAATACTTGTTTAATCATTCACTTAAATTCCTTCATGGCTTCACCACCACTACCCACCATTCTTTATCACATTTGTCCTCATGGTTTCCTGAGGTAGGCAGTGTGGTCACAGGTAGCCATTTCCTACACTGGGAAAGTCCACTAGAACTCTTCTCACATCAAATCAGGGGACTTAAAGCCCACAAAATGATAAAATTTAGTACCTAAATTATTGATTCTCTCTTAACTGGCCTCAGAATTACTTGTGACAATGCTAGTAGGTGGCCTTGTGTATACTTACTGTGTATTTACTTATATGCCTATTATCAAAAGGCTTTTATGGCATAAAGGGCTCACTGAAAAAATGGCCATTTTCCATCCTGAAAATCAGGATATATATATCCTAACTCTGATATTTAGGATTTGGAAGATAACTTAGGTCTGAGTTTCTCCTTCAGCAAAATAAAGACAATATTGGTGGAATATAAGATATAACTATCTATTACACAATGGTTAAATGTCAAGGCTTTACAGTCAGACAGATATGGATTAGAAGGGCAGTTCTACGACTTTCTAGCTGTTTAACCAGAAGAAAAGTGAATTTCTGAGAAACTCAGATTCCTCACATATGACATGGGGGTGATAATATCAACAACGTATGTACTCAAAATAGTACCTGACAGCATAAAAATCCAATAAATGGCAGCTACTGCTATTATGGGGGTAATATTAGGATCATTAACAGCATGGTATCCAGCATAGATAAATACTCACTAAATGTTGGGCTGCCCTTTCCCTCAATTTTATTAAGTTCTAACATCAATTGAAAGGAAAAAAGAAGCATAATATGAATTATACTAACTGCAGTAATTAGGAGGGAAGCATAAAAATTGAAACAAAGTAAAAATAAATATCAGAACAGTTGTATCAACAAAAAGTGCCTCTAGACATACAATTTGTGCAAAAATATTAAATATATAATTCCTCCATGACTTTTAGGGATTTGGAAGGCAATGGAATAAAGTATCTTACAAATTCCACCTTTCTGTCGTGCGATGCACTCACTGTTCTGTAAGTATGCAATAAACTTTGGTAAATGAGGGGCTACCCAATATATTTGAAAATCAAAAGAAAATATTGACAAGGAATTTTACAGTAGTGTCTTATTTACAGCCTTAGTCTGAAACTGCTGTATTATAAAATGCCCATGTAGCTTGATTTATTTTGAAAGGGGTCCAAGCCTTACCTTTAGTGGCCACCATGTAGGTCTTCAGTTGCTCTTCTTGTTTTTGAGGACAGTCACTATTTTTGTGCATCCTCTCAGCTGAACTCATACCTGAACCTATGTTCTCAAAAATGAGATAATGTATAGAAAAGTGACTAGTTACCCAGTGATTGTTACTGCCAATTACATTTATCACATGATATCTCTCTCTCTCTCTCTCTCTCTCAAAAAAAAAAATTAATTCTAAAGAGAAAAACATCTAATGTGTTCTAATAGGCCAAAGATTCTGATTGGTGATTCTGATTGCCGACAATGTTTTTTATGGGGGCTGGAAGGCAGATGGGTTAATTAATTGACACATTTGCACTGGAAAACTTAAAATCATGTGCATTTTGTTTTAATGATAGTTTTCCATATAGAGTAAACAATTAGTAATGATGGTTGGTTGGTTTGACGGGTGATTGGAAAAGTTGGAGTCTATCCATTTGTAGTAGCCTAACCACTATTCTTTAACAAATTAAGAGATAAGGCTATTGCCAAGTTGCACATTTATCAATCAGATTGCAGATAAGCATGTTTAATGAGAAAAGAGATGATCCCACTCAGGGAATACAAAGAATTTATTACTTTACTCATAGATAATGAGAGTGAATACTGGAAAACTAAACAAAATACATCAATGACTTCTATTGTATAGCTTCACTCAGCTTTCGAATCACTTTCATACTCATCATCTCTCATTCAGCACCTCTGTAAGGCAGGTGGCGGCTGACCCCCACTTTCTGCCATTTCTCCTAGAGGATTCCATTTACACACAAAGTAAAACCAATGTGCTCCCACCAAATGTAAAATTTGTTTGTAGCCCCAGAAACTACTATGAGGTTTGTTAAGCTTTGCTCTTTCTGGCTTTCTCCTAAGGAACATGCCTTACACAAGAGTTCTCTCAAAGCCTTCTGGAGAATTATTAACAGGTCCAAATCTAATATTACTTGTGTGTATTTGAGAAACACTTTCTAAAATGATGAGAATTCAAACAAAATGCAGCTTTATAGACCACACTCAGCACCTCAAACTACTTATGACAGCATTTCCTAGAGAGGACATGTGGACATCCTCAGTGAGAAACTCCAGCCTAATTTCCACACCAGAACCTACCTCTCTTTGAGACTTCAAAGGAGGCTTGGGGAATTTCACCAGATCAATGGCCTGTCCCAAGGAGAACTGGTTACTGCAACAGACACAAACCAACAGTGCTGACTCTCACCATGTCTTGCAGGTTTCTGCCTAGAAATCAAATTGATTTTGTTCCAGAGAAGACATTTTCTTCATTAAAAAATTTAGGAGAACTGTAAGTAGCATTGTCTACTAGGAAAATATGATTGCTTCTTCCAAGATGATACATTTAATTGACTAGTGAGACTGCTTTTCCACTAGTAGCAATCAAAATCCTGTAGACTACTAGAGATTCAAAATCCATTAAGAAAACCAACATTATCCTAAAGTCAAAAGCAAATTAAAATTAGACATGAGCTTAATATGGATTTAACCTACTTTAATTTCCCTGCCTGTTTTCTTTGAGTAATTTCATGTATATGTGTGCTTGGGAATAAATGAATTTTCATAGCTCCTTACACCCAGTGATTATTATCTCTAATGACTAAAGTGCAGTTAATTCTCAATAAATGCTTGCTGAATGAATAACTGACTAACTGAAATACTATTTACTAATTATAAAGAAAAGAACAAAGATGCTTTTATTTCTTGAGAAATTATGACTTCTAGAACAGATGAAGCAAACACTGGTGTTGGGAATGAGACTTAGGCTCATTGAAAGCGATTCAGAGAGCTCATGGACCTTTTTCTGTTCAAACACATGTTTTGTAGATCTAAGCCTTTGAAAAATCATCTGTCTTGTTATTAATTCATTGTCACCCAAATAGCTGTATTTCATTGGAATTTAAAATTATGTAATATTACAAATAGTGGCAATTAGGGGAGAAAGCTCCTCCCTCTGATGTGAGGTCTAAAAACGAAAATTAATTTCTTAATTAACCTCTTTCCCATTCTTTATACCTTATTTTGACATTCAGAAAAGACTGGGGGAAATAACTCAGTCAGAGTAATTTGAAAGCCATGGCCAGTTGGTTGGAGCGTAGTCCCATACACTGAAAGGTGGCGGGTTCAATTCCCAGCCAGGGAACATACCTGGATTGTGGGTTCAATCCCCAGTTGGGGCGCGTATGGGAGGCAACTGATCAATGTTTCTCTTTCACATCTCTCTCTCTCTCTCTCTCTCTCTCTCTCTCTCTCTCTCTCTCTCTAAAAAAACAAACAAGTAATTTGAAAAATAATTCATGAATTTCATGAACAATTAAGATACTTCAATTTAATTCATGAGTATCATAAGCCAAATCCATAAATATTTATTAAGTGCCCAGTGTGTACAAGGCACTGCATTAGAATTAAAAATATCACATTTTATGGCAAAAAAATTAAGGGCAGCTCACTCAGAAGAGCTTGCTCATTTCTCAAATGGGTTTTCCTGATCAGATCTTGGGGGATGGATATGGATTTGGGTTATGGGTTGAAGAGGAGGGGCCGCTCAGGGCAAATAGGTGTGGGTTTTATATACAAACTTCAGAAAACAGTGGGAAGAAGTCCATATTTTGAAAAATTTCCTAATCTTCCTCTTATACTTAGGGCCACTCCTGCTCCAAATAAAAGAGCCTAATTAAGAGACACCTGCTTGCTTCTTTAAGCCTGCCAATAATAATGTTTCAATCCACATAACATCAGTAAGATAAAGGAAATTTAGAAGTTAAAAGAATTAACTTGAACAAGGCATTTATATTTCTTGAGTTTACAAAAATGTTAGGTCATTTTACTGTGCCTTCACAACACCAACGCCTCCTGGAGAGGAATAGCAAGCTTATGTGAGGCCACTGAAGTCCTTTCTCCCCCAAAAGACTGCCCTTTCTTTTTCAGTGTAGCACTTTGCAGGACATGTTCTAGGTGTACAAGATCATCATCACCTTACTCAGTTGTCGGGGTCCCTTACCCTTGCACACCTGTGGCTTTCTTCTGTGCCAAGACCCAAGTATGCTCCTCCATCTAAAGCCAGGTCAGAATTCCCAACTGGCAGGACCTCTACACTTGAATATCATCACAATCTCTCAAGAGCAATCAAAACAACTCTTACCCCACTGCCAGTTCCTTCCCTTACCCGTGGTCGGCAAGCTGCGGCTCGCGAGCCACATGCGGCTCTTTGGCCCCTTGAGTGAGGCTCTTCCACAAAATACCACGTGCAAGCGCACGTACAGTGTGATTGAAACTTCGTGGCCCATGCGCAGAAGTTGGTTTTCAGCCTGGGCGAGTCTATTTTGAAGAAATACTGTTGATATTTGGCTCTGTTGACTAATGAGTTTGCCGACCACTGCCCTAGACTTACCATCTTAGTGGCATTAGCACCCTCCTGGCAGCCAGGCTCAAAAACTACTCCCTTTCCAGCTAACTCTCTTACACTTCGTGTCCTTACAGACCATAAGCCCTGCCAGTGTCTTTCCTTGAACCCTCTTCAGCTGGTCCAGGGTCAAAGTCTCATGCCAGGTTCCCTCCTCTGATTCTGGTTTCTCAGGCTATCTTTCATGATTCTGACAGGCTTATATCATTTCACAACCCATAGCATATATGTCACTGTCCTGCTTAATATCCTCCCTCCTTGTTGCATGCTGTTTAACAAAGTCCTTGACACAGTTCGCAAATGTTAATGTTCAAAAAAAATCACAGCTCTGGCTTTAAATGCATGGCATCCTCCTCCCTCCACCCCTGGAACTTCCAATGTGATAGTTACAGACAGGCACTAGGAATGTGCTCTTTTTATGAGCATCCTCCTTGATTTTGATGCCTGGACTCTACTCTGGCAAATACTGCCTCAGAACGTATTCATGGCCCTTTCATTTTGTCTGTATGCACTTCTGCAGACTCCCATCCTCTCCATCCCATACTTTCTATCTTCCAACACATTGGACCACTTGCTGACTCCTGATGAGTTGACTTCTGAGCATCTGTTTCTGTGATCCTGCTTAATTTAACCCTCCACTGAAAAGCTGCTCTCCTTTTGTTCCACTTATGAAAATCATCCAGCTTTGTTCAGACACTTCTTAATTTCACAGGCCAAGTTTGAGGACTTCTTCCTTTGTTTCTTATCTGTTCTGTAATAGCACTTGTTTCATTCATTCCTTGTTTCAAAATAGAGCTGTTTGTTCTAATTGTAAGCTTCTTTAGAGAAAGAGCTAAGTCTTAGTTATTTGTAGCTCCCACGCATTGACCAGCAGCTCCCAAACATCAAAAATAGATAAGATCTTTTGTTTGATTCTTAGGCAATTTCACATGTTTTGCTTTAACATCTTCTCTGGCTCAAAAGGATATTTTGGACTCTTAAAAATTCCCGATTTCTTCTGATCCTAACAAATCTCTTTTCCTCATTCTGCAGAAAAACTTCCCTCTGATTCTTTCTGAATCAGACTATCCTATTATATTTAGTTCTAAATTCTCAATTTCTTATTTAAAAAAATAGTACCATATAAAAGAGATGAAAAATGTGTGAACTTACCGTTCAAGATTATCTAGACAAATATAGTTTACACAGTAATCTATCTTAGTTGGAATATAAAATAAATAGAAGGCATGGGCCTTAACCTCAGAAAGCTTATAGTTGAATAAACATAATATCACATATATGAACCAAATAGGATTACAAAACAGTGAATTGTCAAAGTGTACTCTTCGTACTAAAACAGAGGAAATTAATCAAAGTAGATATTGAAGCCAGGTTGGGAATGTGTTGGAAAAGGGCTGAGAGGAAATTCCAAACAGGAACTGGTTGAGCAAAATGTCACATGTCTGCAAGTGATGGAAAACATACTAATTTGGCTGACTCACACAGGCTGGTTGTATAGCAAGTTATCAGGTTGGTTAAAAAAATTGAATCATATTCTCTATTATGTCAAGTGGGATGATGAAACTTTTGAGAAGTAATAATCATGTCATTTATTTCCAATGTAATTGCTTTGGATTTTCACTGTCACCAATAGGGATCTGTCTAGCAATATGATAACAGAGCTACCAACCCACATTTTTAAAGACCTGAAGCTTCTACAAAAACTGTAAGTTCTTCTTGCCACCGCCATCAGATTTAAATGGCAACATCTTAAGCTACCAAAATAATAACATCCTGATGCTTCCTTCCTTCTTCCCTCTAATGGAACAAAAGGAACCTGTCGTCCAACCCTCTCTTGTATCTCCACAAGAACCAGTTTGAAAGTCTTGAACAACTTCAGTCTCTGTAAGTGAAATATGACAGTGTGCTGATTATATTTTAGTGGATGTACTTCACTTAGAAACATATCTAATTCCTATGGGAAATCTCATCCTACAGTTTTCATAGAGAATTAAATTTGCAATTGTTTTGTTATTAAACCTTTGGTGAAGAACAAATTTTGGAAGACTTGCTGCTGCTTCCCTATCCCCTTTCCTACAGCAATCAACATACCATCAGTCTACAGAGCATACTTTTTACTTTTTAATCAGTGCAGGGAAAAATTATGCAGCAAAGATGAACATTCAGACAATTAATTTTGTTTAGTGTTTTAAATTTTCAAACATATTAAACTGCAAGTAGTGTCAAGAACTCTGCCAGTTTTTACACAGAGTGTATACCGTGTTACCCAATCTCAGCCTAAAGCCTTTCTTCATACAATTCTAAAGACCAATACTTACCATAACACATACTGAATTCTGAAAGGCAAAATATCAAGTTACCACACCATGCCTTTCTGAAAAGTCAAGTTGTAACTATTTACTCCAAACTTTTCTTTTTATATTTCTTTTCTTTCTTTATTATCTTATTAATTTTGTTATAACAATTTATTTACATATTTATTTCATATTTATTGGCCACCAACTTATTTATAGCACTTGCTGTCTTAGGAGCTCAGGATATAGTGGCTTCTGCTCATTTAGAAACTATAGGTTACTATTCAAATAATCACACAATCCATGCAAAGCTAAAACTGTGATAAGTCTAGGAGAAATCTAGAGAGCAAAAGAAAGGAAAGGGGAAAGTCCTTTTAAAGGACTCGAGTGTTTCCTGCAAGAGGGGCCCTGAGAAGACTCAGTAGCACTGTTACTCTTCTAAGCCTTGTTCCTGATCACCAAAGGGCAAGATAGTTCCATTGTGAAGGACTCAATGTGCAACGGAAAACTCAGGGCCATGTTGAGAAATCCTTACTCAGATTAATCAAAAAGAAATGGAAGGAGAATCAAACACCTTTCACAATAAATTTTAAAAGTGAAAGGCTTCTCTCATTTTAGATTGTCCTCTCTCCAGCAATTGTTCCTGAGAACAGGCATACTCCCTTAACTCATGCCATCACAAAAAGGTCTTCAAAGAACCCATATTTGAAGAAGCATCTGGAATGAGGAGAAGAAGGGTTATCATTGTCGCCCCCTGAAGACATCTTCTGGGGTTGGAGGAATTAAAGGATTATGCTTCCCATGGTTGTCATAGGGAACAATTGTCCTGAGTTGGAGCTCCTCTTATGGCTTCCCTGGTTTCCCTCATAAATACACATAGGCCAGAAAAAAAATGACTGTATTTAAATTTAGATTCCCACAAATGCACTTCGTGATGTCCTCTGGTTGGACATAGCAGTTCCTGTGGCAACCCTCTAACTCACATGCATGGTTTCTAAAATCGAATAGCCGAGCCCATTTCATAATGGTGCAAATCACCACTGCCGTTTTTCAACCAAAGAAATAAATGACAGTGTTGTACTAGAATGTAATTTTGCATAGGAAATGACAAAGTAAACTGTGTACAGGAGGCATAAGGAGAAATGGCAATTTTCTAAGATAGCTCACTATGAAATGCTCATCCTACTTTGAATTGGAAACATAGGCTTTTGAAAGGTGACATTAAGGAAGGACAAAGAATGCAATTACTAAAAAGTGAAATACTAAAAACATGAAACCTGTGTGCCTGTTTTCCAGAGACCTGGAAAGGATAGAGATTCCAAATATAAACACACGCATGTTTCAGCCCATGAGGAATCTTTCTCACATGTATGTATGTATGAAAGAACGGAGAAGACCGCATGGTGGAATGTCACAGATGTTCTAGTGCAAACTGTCTCGTGTGTCACTGCAATGTGTTTTGGTGCAAGAAAAGTCTTTTTATTGAGAACTTTTTAATTTTGTCACCTTTGGTCCCTGTTCAAATAGAATTCAATATTATGATGTGCCGACATGAATGACACTTCTCTCTGGAAACATGCTGTTTATCCAATTGAGGCCCAATAAGAGATCAGGGTACCAGAGTGCCACACATTACACGAGATGAAGTCAATGGCTCACTGGTACTCAGGAGACCTGGGAACATTAATTCACCTCTCATGAGTGAGCAGTCGGCTGCTCTAAGATTTGAGCCCTTAGGAAGAAAGGTGCTTATATAAATTCCAGGTGTTGTTACTGTTACTAAGTGCACTTCAAAATGGAGGTAATTAATCTTTATAGTAGTTTTTGATAACTCACTTGAATATATTTGACTAAAGTGCACTGTGTACGTTGTGTTAATATATGTGTTTATGACATGATTATTTCTTTATCAACTGTGTAATCTCTGTGTTCATGATTTCAAAAATTAACCATTGTTATTCACAACAATAGGGAGAATTCGAAGTAAGCTTACAAGTTGGGTGCAGCAAGTGGATGAAATGGTTGGTGTGAAGGTGCTCTTGTGGGAAAACATTTTGTTTGTGTCCGTGCTATAGGTGTAATTACTAAAGGATGATTGTTTAATGCATATTTGCATGATTTTCATAATTTCTCTTTCTGTGGCACCAGTAGATATTTAAGGAGGCTCTCATTTCCTTGTTGCAGGCAGAATGTGAGGTCTTAAAATAGAGAAATTCAATCATTTTAGAACTTGATAGAGAACCTTAGGTTGAGGTCAAAAGGACCCAACAACTAACAGAAAATGTGTTAACTTAGGTCCCTACTAAATGGCCTAGTTCTTTCATCTTCCTTGTTCACACTTATTGAAACACCTTCACCCCATAACCCCATCCCTTCCACTTGTCATTCAATGCCAAAGTCACAGTGGGAAGAGAGGTTGAACTACTGAGATACCCTAGCTGGCTCTATCTGAAGACAGTGGGCATAATTCCTAAAGAACCAAGGGTTCAATGCATGCCAGGGATTCCAGGAAAGAAGGGGAAAACAAGAGTTATATATCAGGTTCCTTTAAGTGCACAGTAGATGATATGGGGAAGCTAGACTGTAAGCTGCTCAGAGCAGGTATTGCCTCCGATTTTTCTACCTAACATCCCAGCACTAAATTATGCATCATACATTAGCTCATCTAAAAAGTGTTTGCTGAGTACTTCCCATGTGCCAGGCGCTGTTCTAGATCTGAGCACGCAGGATGACCAGGAGAAACCAGTGTCTGCCCCATGGAGCTTTCATGGAGCTTTTAGAACCAGAACGTAAACATGTAAACAAACAAATCTATAATAATAAAAGCATAATATACTAATTAGACCAGACAGCCAAACGACCTTCCAGATGAAGCCAGCGCTGCGAGGGCTGAGCCCCTTGCACGAATTTCATGCAGTGGGCCTCTAGTAGTTAATAAATGCTATGAAGACAAGTACAACAAGATGAAGGGATAGAGGACGTTGATAGCCCACAGAGAAGTCAAAGAATGTGATAGCCTTGTGGACCTTAATGAAGGGAGGGAGCAGCCCTGACATCTGAGGGAAGAGGGAAGAACCTTCCCGGCAGAGGGAAAAGAAAAAGCATCATACTGAGAAGGGGGTGAGCTGACTTGCCTGAGGATTAGAAGAAGGCCAGTGTGTCTGGGTGGAGTGAGACAGGAAGCCAAGGAGGTAAGGAGGACCTGGGTAACCAGGGGTTCCATCATAGGAGGCCTTGAAGCTGTGGCAAAGTCAAGCTTTGTTTAACTTTCTGGTCTACCAACTGGATGGGGAGGAAAATGAAAAGATTTGGAAGAAAAGAGATGAATTAAAAGAGGTGGTAAAAAACACAAAAATAGAATGAGTTTTATGGGCAAAAATCCTGGACACACAGGTTTGGGGAATGGCAATAAGCCAGATAACCTCCCCAATTCAAATGCTTGACCACACACATGGATCATAAATAGATTGGTCACAAACAAACCTATGTTTTCCTCTAGAAATTAAGTCTTTCTAATCCATAGGAAGAAATCTGTGTTTTAGGCAGCTGCTTTTCCTCCTAGCTCCAGTGAGAATGAGTTTTCCTGGTCTCAGAGACCCTCCCTTCCTGCCAAGGATAAGAAGGCTAGTTTACATGAGTATACTTAAAACTAAGTACAAGACAGGAATGTTTTTATGAGCTACTGTAGGTCCTTTGCACCCAAGCCCCTGAATTTTTGCTCAAGATCAACTTGACAACCTACATTTTATAACACCCTAGATAATAATCCAATGTGATGGAGTCTTCACATTCTCATGTCCTCCCCTGACTCACCTCAGACAAGCCACGGAATTTCTATTTTTGTAGGTTCATTTTTAAAAGAAGCACCCTGCCTAGAGTAACATCTATTCCATGAAGAACTCTTAAATTACATGATCTCTATTAAACAAAAACAAACAGACCTAGTGAAGTTGCATACCTGATGGGACTGCAGCTGTGGTTTCTGTGTCATTGCTGTAAAGTGACTCTGTTTTTTCCTTTGACTTTAGTTATTTCAAAAACTTTCGATACTGCTCCTATGCTCCCCATGTCCGAATATGTATGCCCTTGACTGACGGCATTTCTTCATTTGAGGACCTCTTGGCTAACAATATCCTCAGAATATGTGTCTGGGTTATAGCTTTCATAACCTGCTTTGGAAATCTTTTTGTCATTGGCATGAGATCTTTCATTAAAGCTGAAAACACGACTCACGCTATGTCCATCAAAATCCTTTGTTGTAAGTATGTTTCCTCTCACATAGATCTAGGATATCTTCTGTGAGCTGTAAACTAGATATATACTGGCCTTCAACCAATGGCATTTAATTTAAATTATACCTGTCAGGCAATTTTTTAAAAGTATGAAGGTACTGTTATCTTTGGCTGCTCTGTTCTTATATGAGTTTTCAGGAAACTAGTACCCATTCCTGGGAGTTATGTCTTGGAAATAGGGCAAGAGAGAGCTGAAGAATCAAGGGATGAATTCTGGAGGACAGGTTGTGAGTTATAAAACTAAATTTTGTTTAACCCTCAATTACAATAACACCCATTCTACTCAAGCCCAGAAAATTATTCTTTTTATTAACTATGTAAGTAATATTTGTTTACTATTTAAAAACTAGCATCTCCAATTTCCCTGCCACCTTTTAAAAAAATTATAAAACTAAGACATAGCATGGTACTTAGAAATAATATACCTTTTGAAGTCCAGGCTTGTAGGTATTGTTGTAGGTGTTTATATTAGTTCATTTAATAAAAGATGAAAGAAGTAGACCTAATTAGAAAACGAAAACAAAAATTCTGGGAACTACCAATGTACCCTTATCCATTCCTTAACAGGTGCAGACTGCCTGATGGGTGTTTATTTGTTCTTCATTGGCTTTTCTGACCTAAAATACCGTGGGCAGTATCAGAAGTATGCATTGCTGTGGATGGAAAGTTTACAGTGCCGCCTCATGGGTGTCCTGGCCATGCTGTCCACTGAAGTCTCTGTCCTGTTGCTGACATATTTGACTTTGGAGAAGTTCCTGGCTATTGTCTTTCCCTTCAGTAACATTCACCCTGGAAAACGGCACACTTCACTCATCCTCATTGGCATCTGGATTGTGGGATTTTTAATAGCTGTGATTCCATTTTGGAATGATGATTATTTTGGAAACTTTTATGGAAAAAATGGTGTATGTTTCCCACTTTATGAGGACCAAACTGAAGATATTGGAAGCAAAGGGTATTCTCTTGGAATTTTCCTAGGTAAATTATATTTTTCATTTTTTTGACAAATATAATCTTGTTAGAAATACCACAAAGTTCAGCATATTTACTCATTTCAGAAAGTAAGTCCCTTTTTAAAAATAAAGCTCTTACTGTTTATTTACAGAAATTTTAGCATGAAAATCCATACTGTCAGGATCTCTAGATGTTTTTTTTTATTATCTGCCAGAACTGTGAGCTGGAGGAATTCTAGGTCACTTAAGTTGTCCTCTCACCCAACCACATTACTTGAATTCATTTTGTTTTACAGTTTATATGTGAGTTAAATAATAATAACTCACTTACAGGAGATTATATGAGTGGAAATTGCAGAAAGGTTCGTTGCCTTTGGGAAATGCTGCTCAAAAGTTAACAACATAAGGATACTTCATAAAACTCGTCCTTTTTCAGTTTTCTCGGTCTTCCCCCCTTTTCTTAAAAAAGAAAAGAAGGCCATATATTCTCTGTTACAAATGAAAGAGAAGCTGGGTCCTTTGAGGTTAAAAACGTTTTTATCATTTAATAGATATCTCAATTGCTTTAAACTAAAGTCATTCCCAAGTCCTCTCTTTAGGGGAGTATGATAATTTCCATTTCCTCTTCTCATCTTTTTCTCCCATCCAGTTGGTCAATAAGCCCTATTGTCCTCTCATTTCACAAATATTTTTTATCAGAATATGCCTCTGCTTTCTTTTCTTCCAGTCTCTCAATCCACTGCTACCACCTTCCTTTAAAAACCTTATCACCTGAACCCTGAATTATGTTAGCCCTGCCTAGTCTTTTGTCCTCTGGGCCCTTCTCTCCTATTCATGTGGCACATACCACTGTTCTCCCTCCCTGAGGACTGAAAGAACTGTGTGTGCCTCTGCTCAGAGATTTTCAATGAAACCTTGCTACTACCAAGGTCAAGTTTAAATTAGCACTTAGAGCCCACCACAAAGTGGCCCTAGCCACTGTCCCCAGGTCTTCTCCATCTACTCCTTGTCTTCTTCCTCTGAAAAGTGAAACACCTTGTTTGCACCATTTTAATAATACTCCTCACATACTACCTTGTTTTATAGCTATTTTTCGTGGCTATAGGATATTGTAAGATGTTTCTAGCATAGGTGCACTTCATAGAGAGCTACACACACATGCGCGCACACACACACACACACACACACACACACAGTATGTTATGTTGCCTTGCATCACATTATGTTACATTCATTGATCCGACATGAATTTATGAAGCAATTTTGGGTACTGGAGATACAACAGATTGGTTCTCACAGGCCTGCAGCCAGAAAGGAGAATGAAGACAAGTAAATACATCCTACGTCACAAGCTGACAAATGCATGAAGGAGGAATACAGCATGTTCTAGGAGCCCCAGATCTGGGTACCAGGGGAGGATTCCCAGTGGAAATGAATCCAAACTGGGGCCCACAGGAGGAGGAGGCATTAGCTAAGTGAAGGCAGAGAAAAGACAGAGGCCTCAGAGGCCTAAAGCCAGGGAATAGGCCCAAATGAAGAGTGAAAAACGTTCAGATTTTATAGTTAAGGTGTGGGTCAGCTAAAAGGATTTTAGTACCTGTGATATATTCTGTATTGATAAAAAGATAGTCTCCTCTCTCTCTCTCTCTCTCTCTCTCTCTCTCTCTCTCTCTCTCTCTCCCTAAACCACTTTTCTGCCTAAAGAATATAAGAACATACAATTTTTTAAATTAATTTTACATTTTAGAATAATTACATTTAGAGAGAAAGAGTTACAAAGATAGCAGTTTCCCTATATCATCACCCAGTTTCTCCTGCTGTTAATATCTCACACTCTTTTGGTGCCTTCAGAACATATAGTTTGATCCTTTTTGTAAGTCTGTTTTCAGAATTTATACTGGAGGGTCATCTTTTCCTTTTTTAATGTATCTTTATTGTTGAAAGTATTACCCCTCCCTCCCATTGGGAGGATCTTCTTTAACAGTTTTTTTTTTTTCCCCAACTTTCTGGCAAGAGGCTTAAAATAAATCAATCGTTAAAAATTATCCTGTATGTATGGCTTCATAATGAGATTCCATAAAAAATGAAAAGTTTTGAATAAAACCAACAGAACAGTTTGAGCGTATAGTACTTTCCCCAGACTTCACCAGTCTTACATACAATCTAAGTCAGATGAACATTTTTAACAGCTTTGATATTACGTGTAAATTTTATGTTTACCATAAGGTATAAGGTGATCCTCCTAGGATATTTTTTAATTAAAATGTTTTCCTTTTTAAAAAATATATGTTTTTATTTCAGAGAGGAAGGGAGAGGGAGAGAAAGAAACATCAATAATGAGAGAGAATCATTGATTGGCTGCCTCCTGCATACCCACACTGGAGATCGAGCCCGCAACCCGGACATGCCCTGACCAGGAATCGAACCGTGACCTCCTATAGCAAGAACATAACAAAGTGACTACAAAGTCAGGCTTACATGATAATCCTCTGAACATATTTAACTCTAAAAGAGTAATTCACATAGTTAAATTTTTAATTTTTTCTTATTCCTTTTTTCCTAAAACAAATCTACAAGGTTTTGAATTTTAGTTTAAGTGACTATAAACAATCTGAAGAAAAAGAAACAAAAATGATATTTTGTTCATGTATTATTTTTAGTTATGCCAAAAAAAAAACCATGAGGAATAATGTTTCTGAGGCTATTATCTTCTTGATATTTCAAGGTTATCTTGTTTATATTTATAAGATAAAGGAATGGAGTCATACTTATTTTTTGAGATGTACATATGATTACAGTAATCCCTTAAGGCTTTGAATTTGCAGAGAACTAGAAATAAAAATAGCTCTTTTCTGCTTTACAAAACTAAAATTGACCTCATGATACCCAAATCTGAATTTCAGAAATCTACAATTCTTCATAAACCGTTTATGTATTTGAAATCTCTTTCTGAACTGGCAAACCTGATTCTTTTCGTTTATTCCAGCTTATAACCTTGAATTCAGGGTTTCAGCTGAGTACCACTAAGCTAATACAAAAGAGTGCTTCTTGTAGGTTCAGGGAAAGAGGCACTGTGTCGGACATCTCAGAAACACAGCATTTCATTGCTGACCTACACTCCTGAGATGTTAAGAGCTGTGCTTTTCCCAACAGGTGTGAACTTGCTGGCTTTTCTCATCATTGTCTTTTCCTATGGTATTATGTTCTATTCCATTCATAAAACGGCCTTGCAGACTTCAGAAGTGAGGAGTCACATTGGAAGAGAGGTGGCAGTTGCAAACCGTTTCTTTTTTATCGTGTTCTCTGATGCCATCTGCTGGATTCCTGTGTTTGTAATTAAAATTCTTTCCCTCTTCAGAGTGGAAATACCAGGTCAGTCTCTTTTCTTATTCCCAATTACACTTTGCCTTCTTATTCCCTTTGTTTGATGAGGTCAGAATACAGTGCTTTACAATTCTCCATAAATTCTCCATAAATACATACAACCTTAATGCAAACAGTCATTATTTCCCTCAGTGCTTTATACTCAGTATTTTACAAGAGAAAGTGGGCAATGGTAAAAAGAAAAAAAAGAAAAGAAAAGAAAGAAAGAAACTGGGCAGTGGTGAGATCTAAACAAGAATAATAAAAAAAAAAAAAAACAGGAGAGAGAAAAACAGTATTAGTGTCTTGCTTCTACCTGAATGGGATAATGGTTCTTAACCAAGAGTACACACGAAAAGTCAAAATATCTATGCCCAGGTTCTTCCCTGGGCTTCTGAATTTTTTCCACAGGGGCTAAGGCCTCTACATGGGTGTCTTGGAGAAGGGCCTCTGTGATTCTGAGGCACACATCCAATTAAAAACCACGATTCTGTGTCATGGTCTTGGCCAAACAGTCATCACACTGGGCTCTCTGGAGCATTAGGTGTTCCATGGAATGTGCCTCATCCCGGAGACCAGGTTTCCCGCTCATTCTCCTACTCAACTAGAGAAAATAACCTCCTCATTGTATTTGAAGCTTATTCTGGGACCTAGAAATCATACCCAACTAGGGGTCACCCAGGGCTTTAGCTCGACTTTCTGAAACAGCTTTGGGATCATATTCAACTCATTGTTTCAGCCTTTTTCAAATCTACATGGGGAGTTTATCCAGGGTAGGGATTGTATCTTAATCATCTTGGCACACTAGTGCCAAACATGGGGTTGACATGTCAGAAGCCCTTGTAAAAGAGTGATGACTATACAAGTAACAACTTATGTCCTTCTGGGTTGTGCACAAAGTCCTGAGAGACCTTGTCAAATGCAAAAAACGACACATGGCATCCACAGAATCCCCTCAACCAACAGTTTAGTCTCCCAGCAGGACTCTAGCCACAGAACATGTAGAAGTGAAGATCAGGACTGACTACTTGGGAACCTTTGCTGGGTGGCAAGAGCAAAAGTCATAAGAATATGTGAGATTACTCGGGAGTCAGTTGTGTGCAGAAAGCAGAGTTAACTATTTACTGGTGACAGTTGTGGACTTTGATGAAGAGTCTCAGTGTACCACAACTTCCCAAATATTTCAATTGTTCTGTCCTAACATTTCAAATTCAATAGGACTGTAATGTCCTTTGGCCTCCATTGCTCATGGAATAAAATCCCAATGCTGGGATTAGCATGAAGATTTTTCTTCCTCCTGCCCCACCTTCCTATATTCTGTGACACAGGCCCATTAAAATTATTGGACATTTTTTCTAAACTTTTATGTCTTGCTTTTGTTGAAGCTGTTCCCTCCACCTGGATTATACTTTCCATCTGTAAGACTATAGCCTACGAATCACCCTTTTTATCCTCCAAGGTTTAAGCCAATACTCTCTCTTCCATTGTACCATTTCAGACCTCTCCTAACCCACTGGCATCCAACTCCACTGCTGAACTATTCATTCAGTTATGTTTGCAATTAATTTATTAACTTCAGATTGTTTCATATCAGCATTATTTTTAATATATCCATGAGTAAGGACCATGTCTTACTTATCTTATCACAATATTTCCACTATATTAAAATATAGTATTTTTTAACTAATGCTTGATCAACTAAAAATTCTCAGCTAGTTCCCAGTTTCTCCTCACAAAGAACTTTTTGTGGCATCTTTCCCTAGTATAGTCTACTAGCATTTGTAAGGCTTCTCACAAAAGGAATTTATGAAGTTTGGATATGTACTGGTTTTTGTTCTTCAAATTGTCAGACTCCCTTCAGAAAAGGATAGCTGGAATATGGGGCAATAAGGCCTCCAAGACTGGAGTTAAGACCAAAGTCCAATCTGACCTTGGACCAGAAGTTTCCCGAACATTGATTAAGAATTATTCTCACTTTCTTATTTTTCTATAAAGAAAGGCAATAAAAGAAAGAAAAATAGGTTATATATGAACTTATAGTTTATGAAGTATTTTTACATGTTAGATCCTCCAATTTATGGCTCCTACACCCTTCCAATAAAGAGATTTTCAGTATAGTGAGAGAAAACTTAAGTGAATGAGGTAGCCTGCTCAAAAGCAGCATGGACTACAAAATTTTATGAACACACTATGAAAAACGTCTGTTTTTCACACTTTGTTTCCTTATCCAGGCACAATCACTTCCTGGGTAGTCATTTTTTTCCTGCCAGTGAACAGCGCCTTGAACCCCATCCTTTACACACTCACAACCAGCTTCTTCAAGGACAAGTTGAAACAGCTGCTACACAGGCATCGGAGAAAATCAATTTTCCAAACTAAAAAAAAAAGTTTATCTACATCCATTGTATGGACAGATGACTCCTCTTCCCTTAAACTTGGGGTTTTGAACAAAATAACTTTTGGGGACAGTATAACAAAACCAATGTCCTAGTAATGGTTGGGGATCACTGAACTTTCAATGGACTACCTATTAAAAAGTGCTGCATTTGGAAGATGACTCTGCAATGCTTTTCATCTTTACCAACAGCAAACCTTCCTGCATGGAGAACACAGCAGAATGACTTGTGGTGCTGTGGTCCAATGGCAGCCATGTTATTTACCAGCTGTGGTAAGAATTGTACCTAAGGTTTCCACTCACCCTTACATTCCTGAAGTGAGAAATGAATCCATATACAGAAGACATATCAATTGGTCTCCACCTAGTCAATACTACCAAGCTACCGGTTAATGCCCACATGTTGGCACTGCATGGTCTGCTTTCAAATTAAGTCGTACTATCCATAAAATAAAGACATTGGCACATCTAATTCCAGTGTGGCCAGAGTAACATAAGCCTACCATCTCTTTCATTGCTTCTTCAGTGAAATCATTCGCATCCCACTGAATTGATAGCAAAGGATTTCTGAGATGGTCACCCACCTCAAGTCCTGCCCTATGCCGGTCAGTGGAGTAACACCTTTGAAAAAAACACCTTCATATAAAGTTACCATGTGGAACTTTGACCAGAGAGGCACACCGACACAGCCTAGCACCTTTCACCATCTTGGCTTTTATTTCATGTCAGAAGTGCTGAGATCTCAAACAAGGCATTTTTCTTAAGGTTGCCCAGGCTACAAAGGAAAATTGGGTACTCCAACCACCCAAAACTATATTTTAATATTGTTTAAGTATACTTTCTTTACAGAAGTATCTCTATTGCTAGCAAGTTCTGACTTCATGCACAGATATCGAGGTATGAAAGGAGATTTGAGAATAATGGTTTGATAGGACCATTTGCTAATTCAGGTAAATTCCCATAAGTTTTAATAAAAAAAGCCAGTAATTTTGGATTTGTGTTTTGAAAATGAAAAGTACTTGTGAAGGCCTGAATATGTTTTTATACTGAAAGTTTGTATGTGAAAAAAATCAGGTAAATAAAATTGTATTTCTCATTTGTCCATATATTATTTTAAATTTAACAAAGACCATGCAGATGGTTTATTGACTGTTACCCATGTTTCTCTTGATAGAGAATAGAGTTAGGAGACAGCATTTCAGAAATAAGACACAACATTTTTCTTTCTCTTCCTCCTTTTTACAAAGCATGTGGCAATAACTTAATTTCTTCCCTGTTCAATTTATTCTGAGTTCCTTTCATGAGATGAAATGTAAATAGCTGACTGAGAACACCATTATTTTATATTAAACTAGAGGCCCGGTGCACGAATTCATGCACCAGTGGGAACCCTTAGCCAGGCCTGCGGGATTGGGCCAAAACCGGCTCTCCGACATCCCCCGAGGGGTCCCAGATTGTGAGAGGGTGCGGGCCAGGCTGAGGAACCCCACTGGTGCACGATCAGGGCCAAGGAGGGATGCAGGAGGTTGGCCAGCCGGAGAGGGACTGCAGGAGGGCTCCTGTCTAGCTCAGTCCCGATCAGCCGGACCCCAGCAGCAAGTTAACCTACTGGTCAGAGCATCTGCCCCTGGTGGTCAGTGCATGTCATAGCAACTGGTTGACCAGTTGACTGTCTACCCCCTAGTGGTCAGTGCACATCATAGCAAGCGGTTGAGTGGCCTTAGTGTATCATTAGCATATTACACTTTGATTGGTTGAATAGACGACCGGACACTTAGCATACTAGGCTTTTATTATATAGGATGGGATGCCTTTCATTCAGTAGCATCCAGGAAAGGAAGAATCTTAGAGTTGTGTCACAGCAGTCCTGGTAATTTACCTGTTACTACTTAATATTGCCTAAAGCCATCATGTGAATTCCCTTATTTGGATCAAGATATTTCTTACAACACTAACATCTTCTCCTTAGGATGCTACAAATAATGTTACCACCTGTGGTTTCAAACTTAATGTGTCCATGATCCCTTCTCATTAAAAAATAATGTCTAGGATTAGTCACTCCCCAATGTATTTTCTCTATTCATAGACACTTTATTAAATGCTCTTTGCCAATCCTTGATCATCATAAGATTTATTTCCTATTACATATCCCCCAAAACAGGGTGCATAAATAAGAAATAGACCCCAGACATAGAGTATTTCAATCTTAGAACAAATGAGTGCCTCCATTTTTGAAGAGTACCAAGCACATGATCCAAGACTTAGACACATTGTCTGTGGAGCAGAGGACATGAGGAGAAGCACAAGGTCACATGTGTCAGGGAAGTGGGCAGCATATGTCACAGAAAAATGGAAGCTACACATTGTCTGTGGATCAGAGGACATAAGGAGAAGCACAAGGTCACATGTGTCAGGGAAGTGGGCAGCATATGTCACAGAAAAATGGAAGCTACACATTGTCTGTGGAGCAGAGGACATGAGGAGAAGCACAAGGTCACATGTGTCAGGGAAGTGGGCAGCATATGTCACAGAAAAATGGAAGCTATATGCTAGTCAGCAGCATGCCAAGAAATGGGATAAGATTGAATTCTAATAGCTTAGTGTTTTTCAATCAGTTGGCTGATGTTCTATTTATGAAAGATAGAAGATGAGTATTTAATAATGATAATATTTATTTCTACACCAGGGAAATGAAATTAGACTACTATCTTTTTAAATTGATTTTTGAGTAAAAAAAATCTTGAAATCTTTGAGAAATACTTTCAAAAGTCCTGGAAGCAGATTGAGTCCTGTTACTCAAAGTATTTCATTATAATAGTCTCTAGGTAATTTGTCCACCTGACAATATTGGAGAAATAAATTATAAATGAAGAAACAGAAAACAAGGCCAAATGACAACATTGCAGATATCCAAGAATGGGGACCTCCTGCTATCTGAACAGCCTGGCTGTGACCAATGGTGACACCTCTTTACTGCTAGTACTAGAGAAAACTCATAACTATTTTTGAGTTATAAACTTATAACTAGTTTAAATTCAAGAAGAAATTATTTTTGGTATGTCTGGGAACCAATAAAACTTTCACTTATTTGCCAATTCTTTGAGTGCCTGGTGCTGGGGTGTTGGATTCAGAAGTGGTTTTGTAATAGAAGCTGTATACTTCCCTGCTACAGGCAACTCTCATTGAAGGGCAAGGAAATACAGGATCAATAATCAGGGGGCTGGTGCCATAGCTCCAGTTCAGCCATCAACTACGTACAAGACCTCAGACAAATTACTTTTAAATCTCTTCCATTCCTATCACTGAGTTTCCTTAAGATCATATCAAATAAACTTTGTCTTGTCCTATTTCTTGGAAGATCCATAATGTGGATGAAACCACTTGCTAAATGTCCACATGGGTTACAAACCCAAAAGTTTACATAATGTTCAAGGACCATCCAATTCTCGACTTCTCTTTTTCATTTCTACCTATTTTATATTATTGTTCAAAGATTTTTTTAAAAGCCTCGAAGTTTTGTCCTGAGTAGGGGCTGATTCTAAATCCACTCAGCAGTAGGTTTGATTTAGATTCACAATCATGTCTGTCCTGCCATAAGCCCTGCCCTTTGCCCTACAACCATGGGTCATGGCCATCCTGTGAGCCCTGCCTTGCTCTTTGTCAGCTAATAAGAAAACCATTGGACATAATGAATGACTCTAAAGGAAAGTAAATCACTCCAAAGAGTATACTTCTAAATGTCTGTTCCATTCGTTCATTCATTTAGTCATTCATTCAGTCAGTCAACTAACAGGTGTATGCAGCTACCTGCAGCCAGACACAGTGCTATTGAACAAGGTCATCTCCAAGGGCTGGTAATTGACACTCCAGTGAAACAGCCTTGGCAAGACAGTTGGGGGACTTCTTTAGAGCTGCCTTTGGAGATCAGATCCCACATATTTCCCAGAACACTCCTATTTATTTAGTATCTTTTCCTCTCTACTTTTCTTCTTTCAAACTTTTTGCTAACATTTCTTGCCCTTTTTCTCTTACTCTGTACACACACACACACACACACACACCTCTTTGTCTCTCTCTAAATCTGCTTCTTGGTGTCCTCATTTCTGTCCTCTCTCTATCTTTCTGTTGTGCGTTCTCTTCCTCTTTCTATCTCTTTGTCCCTCTGAATTTCTCTCTCTCTCTCTCTCTCTCTCTCTCTCTCTCTCTCTCTCTCTCTCTCTCTCTTTCTCTCTCTCTCTCTCTCTCTCTCTCTTTCTCTCTCTCTCTCTCTCCCCTCTCCCTGTATAGGCAGTGTTTGGGGAGTGGATGTAAGGCCAGATTGAGGCCAAGATGCATTCTTCTGCTCAGTACATTCAGAAGCAGACTGATTGATTACATTTATTTTATGCTCTCAGCTGGCTGTCTGACTGCCATCATATAACAACAGAACAATAGCAGAAACATCCTACATATGAACAGTGCTTTACAGACTGCCAAAGGCTTTCACAAAGCTTTTATTTTGCTGGAGGTCAAGCATTATTTATTCATAAGTGCATGCTTTTACAGACATGTATATACACATAAATACCTCACAATGTTAGAATTAATATATTTGGCAGCCTCACCTCCATAGGACATTACTAAGTTAAAAAAATAAACAACATTTTTAAAGGTCTTTAAGGAACTAAGAACAAAACAATAAAAAAATAGTATTTAACACATGGACCATAAAATAGTGCCTGTCTTAATGGAACTTACATTCTTGGGGAGTTGGTGGGTAGGGTGTATGGGAGAAAAAAAAGCAATCAAGGAAATGAGCAAACCTGTACTGTACTACAGGGTGAGAAGTTGTAGGAAAAAATAATTAAATTAGGAGGTGGGAGAGTTATTGGCTGATCAGGGGCAGTGTCAATGGACATCCTCAATAAGAGGTGACATTTAAGTAAAATATCCTGATGCCATTTCTCCTTCATTTACCTATCTTTAAAATGAAAAAAATAATAGCCACCTTACAAAATTACTGAAAGCTTTAATTGAACAAATATATATTTCAAAACATAGACTTAAATTCATTAATTACTCAGCAAACAGTAGATATATATCTTACCTCATAAATT